TACAAAGTGTAAGAACGAGAAAAAATAAAATAAATAGAAGCATTGAATGGTTGCGCTAAAATTTAATGTCCGTAGTAAATATAAATTAAGTTAGATCAGTTTCGCTAGCCATAAAAATGAGAATTTAAGGAAAATAGTGAATGAATGAAAATACTAAAATTAGAATTTTTAATTTGTTTTTTTTTATAAATAATACCCCCTGGAGAGGGGGTTGCAAAATTAATTTTGTAATTGAACTATACTTAAAATGTAAAGTGCCTCATTGCCGCATTTGCTTCGTAAACCCCAGATCCTTTATAGAAACATATTTTTTTCACTTTTTCAAGTTGCGTCAATCGGTATAATTATAATAATATATCAAAATGATCCAAATTCGTAATTTGGAATAATTAATTTCACAGCTGCGATATTAATTGATTGTAGTTTATTTATATTCAAAATGCGTAGTTTAATTAAATGAATTATTTTGCAGTTTCTTTAAAAAAAACTAAAAGCTAATCAATTAAAAACCTACACTTCTTTCTTTCTTTCTTTCTTTCTTTCTTTCTTTCTTTCTTTCTTTCTTTCTTTCTTTCTTTCTTTCTTTCTTTTTTTTTCTTTCTTTCTTTCTTCCTTCCTTCCTTCCTTCCTTCCTTCCTTCCTTCCTTCCTTCCTTCCTTCCTTCCTTCCTTCCTTCCTTCCTTCCTTCCTTCCTTCCTTCCTTCCTTCCTTCCTTCCTTCCTTCCTTCCTTCCTTCCTTCCTTCCTTCCTTCCTTCCTTCCTTCCTTCCTTCCTTCCTTCCTTCCTTCCTTCCTTCCTTCCTTCCTTCCTTCCTTCCTTCCTTCCTTCCTTCCTTCCTTCCTTCCTTCCTCCTTCCTTCCTTCCTTCCTTCCTTCCTTCCTTCCTTCCTTCCTTCCTTCCTTCCTTCCTTCCTTCCTTCCTTCCTTCCTTCCTATTATACAATGATTATCCACAGTAGTGTTGTTAAATGGCTAGATTCAAATTTTATATAGAAAAATATTGTCTAACCCTGGAGATTTCGCTATGTTCTAACCGTTATGCCATCTATGACCAATATCTTGATGCTAGCTTAATATATTTTTTTTTGCATAAAATATTGAGTTAGCCATTTTTTAAAAATTAAATAGACCCGTTTAACAAGTCTCATATCAACTTTTCAAATATGGCAAGTAAAATTACAATTTAAATAATATCTATGTTTAGCGGAAATGTGTTTTAACCGTTATTGTTATTTTTTCAACTTTAAATCATATTTTAAGCCCCGTTTTTTTAAAATTTAAATATGATTTTACCGAAAATATATTCCAAAACGTTTCGAATAGCTATATTAGGAGTTGCAGATAAATTTACCATTAACTTTCGCGTCGTTTATAATTTGTTAGAAAAAATCTATGCAAAAAACAAATACATAAATTATATTGAGTTCAAAGATTCATGGGAAAATTGTCTTCTAATTCATAAAGCAGGTATTCCGAACATAATGGAATAAATTTCCGGTAAAATCAGATTTTTAAAATTTAAAGATGATTTAAGATTGAAAAGATAACATACTGCCGGAAAAATATCCATTGCCGCTAACATTTATATAAATAACTGCATTTCAGATCAAAAAGAATGCAAACTACACAATTGGTTCACTTTTAAACAATTTTTCATGGGGTTTTCCATTATATCTTCCAAATTTTGTAGAAAAAAAATATATATTATATATATATATTAATAATCAAGTGATATTTATAATAATTTTTTTTATTTCGAAATCTAAAATTAGTAAATTAACCGTTAAATATGCTATAACTAACTAATATAACCAATTATGTAAAAATAAAAATAATTAATTAGATTTGTTTTGAATTAGAATTCAATTTTTTTTTAAAGAAATATATAGCGGCTGCGCATTATACATAATTAGTTGTTATATGGTTAAATCTTATTTTGATTGATTTATAATCTATGGAATAACAGCAGCTTTGTTTTCCTCGATAGAATTACTTGACAATTACGAGATAAACTGGTTTATTAAAATTTCCTGTATATTTATTTTGCTTATGGGACACATGGGGAATCTATTTGAAGTAATTTTGCTATTAAATCCATCCGTAATCATTGAGTTTTGCACTTATAAACATATTAAGAATTTAATTAAAACGGCGAGGCGATCAGCTGGAAAATAGTTTTGGAATAAATCGCTGACTCTATCTATTTTTCATACCCTCAAAATTTGTTGTCAATGAAGGCGCAGAAATAATTGTATACTCTCCTCCAACATAATAAGGCATGATGTCAATGAAAGTAGTTTTTCTTAATTAATTTTATGAATATTTTGGGCTTAATAATTGCACCTTTGCCCAAAATATTCCACCATGTACATTCAGAAAACCCTTGGATAACATATTTGGCACATTATTATTTTCCCATATCGAAATCATTGTTAAATTTTGGTTTCTTCATTTATTTTATTTTCTTCATTTATTTTATTTTCTTCGTGACTCAATTGATTGCAGTTGTATTTCCATTCAACTCCAATTTATTCGTTAATATTAAAAGAGTCAGAATTGCTATGCTCTTGAGTCTCACATACTCAATCATATGGCATCTTCTTCTTTACCTATATGAATAAAACAAAATATCAACAATTTCAGCAAGTGGAGGAAACAAATCTTAAACAAAATATTTTATCTATTAATATCTAATCAGAAAATTTGAACCCCAGAGGAGAGATAAATGGAAATATAAGAATTTTTAAATAAAAATTTAGTTCAAAAGACATTTCCTCTTCAAGTAACAACAGAAAAGATCAAAATATAAACTAAGCAAGAATGATAAATGCTCGAGCATAAATTCTTCATATCTAACTTGTAATAACAACATCACAGGAAACATCACCCCCTATCATCTTATTCACAAAATTCAATATAAATAAATTATCATATTTAAAAGAATTTATAAATTTTTTGCCCAGCATTCAAAAACAAGGTATCAAATTATACATCTATATTGAATTCATATCATGAAAATTGACAGATCTCAATAAGCAGATACACTTCTAATGGGGAATCAATATGTCTTATTACTGACGAGTGGACAAACCTTGTAGTAAATCTTTGTAATCACAACACCTATTTCATAAATAAATAAATGCAATGGTAATTCCCATACTAAGGAGTTTATAGGTAAAAAATTATTAGAAGTTATCGAAGAGCTGGGTCAAAAAAATATAATAGAGCTGGAGTTATTGACAAATTGGCTAATATAAAATCTGAATGGAGATATGTTAAAATTATTTTCCTTATATTTTTTATATTGGATGCATGGCTCATGGAATACATTTGCTATGTAAGATAGAATAAGTCAGTACCAAAGGTGAGAAACTGGTAATCTATTTTTGGAATCATCGTTTACCGAATTATGAATTAGAGAATCACAAAAGCTACGATAGGGCAAAATTGATTTCTAAAAAGGATAAACCTAAGCCATGGGGAACTGTTTATTTGAAGTTCAAATTCCTGTGTAATCAAAAGTGTTAATTTCAGTGTCTGGATATAAAGATTTTTCAAACCCTTAATAAAAAAATTACCTTTTGAGCGGATACCTATATATGAATATCCCAGACTTAAAAAACAAAAGAATCTTTCACTAATTTTACTAATAGGTGATACAGTAAAATTATTATTCGAGAAAAGGTTTTCTTTTATGGTGCAATACACTATAATCTAGGCATATCTTCTAAATTCAAAAATTCGACACTTTATATCTGTTATTGATTGTGCTCGATCTCTATTTCATGACATAAATCAAACCATAACAGAATGTTTGGCTTGACATATATTTATATAAATAAAAATTTTATACATAGTTTTTTATTTTTTATGAGGAAAAGTGAATTGTTTAGTTTAGATTTTAGGAAAAGCAGTTATAGCTATAGTGTGTTACTTTTTTTATACTAGAATTCACTAGTGTTGATAAATAGTTGGTTATTTTCGACCCATAACTCGAATTGAAATCGTGGAAATTAGTACAACCCTGAGCTAGGGTTGAATAATCGACACTCAACCAGACCCATTGGGATTGTTGAAAATCAATCGGGTCATCTTTCTGGGTCGGCAGAACATCTTTCTAGTATCAAAAATCTTTTACTATTAAAACAAAATGTAAAAATTTTTAATATTTATTTTTTCCTCATGGAGTAAAATATAATGGCGGTGCCAATTTATTAATAGACTCAGAGATTTTTGAGCATCTTTATAGTATCAAAAACCTTTAACTAGGCGAAAAACAAATTTTTTAGAAATTTTCATTTTATTCACGTGGATTAAAATTTAATATGAGTGCCAATTTATTACTAGACTTAGAGGTTCTAGAATATCATTTTGGTATCAAAATTTTTTAACTAGGCTTATAATAAAATTTTAAAAATTTTCATAATTTTTTTTTCCTTATGTACTAAAATATAATGGCAATGCCAATTTATTACTAGACATAATGGTTTTAGAACTTCTTACTAGTATCAGAAACTTTTAACCCCTCGTGAATATATAATGGAAATGCCAATTTATTACTAGAGCTAATTATTTTAGAACATCTTTCTAATATCAAAAACTTTAAAGCCGAATAAAACTAATTAGTTTAAATTTTTATATATTGTGTTGACCAGCGAGCCGACCCAGCAAGCACACCCATCAGCTGACCAAATGGCTCGGCTCATGAGGCCTATTGGGTTAGCTCTGATCTATGGCTAAATGCATTGGCTCAGTTTTAGGTCGCTTTTTTGGCTTAAACTTTGCTGGGTTTTCGGTCAAACCGATCTGGCCCAGCAATTTAACAACACCAGAGTTCACAGCATAGATGATGGCTATTTTCTCATCTGATGCTTAACTTTAACAAAATATAAATCTTAGCTAGGTTTTTGATGTGTATTTGAAAAAATACGGGAGATTAGATATATTTAGTTTAAAATTATTTTTATAATTAACTTTTTTACGATTAAAATAATGTAGTAAATTTTCCCACTCGCGCACCCAATCATGTGGTACAAAATAATACTGAATGTACAAGGATAATATTAGTAGACTCTCATCTGTATTCAAACGTGTTTCTAACCTATTAGAAGTTAAAAACAACGGCAATCAAGTGAACTATTATTTATCAAATGATTATATACCTATTTACAGGATGAGGCTCTTAAACAATATTGGATGCCTGACAGGAATTGTAAAGAATGCTATGAATGTAATGAACTATTTACAACTTTTAGGAGAAAACATCATTGTAGAATATGTGGGCAAATATTCTGTAGTAGATGCTGTCATTTAGAAATATCTGGAAAACCTTTCGGGTTTCTAAATATATTATATTTATTTTTGTAATATATTGAAACCCACTAGATTATTTAAAATCGTTACTTTTTTTTTAGTTTGAATTAATATATATAGCATTAATTTTATTTTATAAACATTGGTTATTTATTTTTTCTTTATTGGTCTTAAAAAAATTGTTAATATATGTATAGTTAAAAATTTCTATGACTATTTTACCCACTTATGAAAGTTTTTTTTCTTTTTGTTAGATATTTAGTGCATTTTTTAATATAGATATAAGGCTACAATATTATTTATAACTTCTATGTAATACAAGATTTATTAGTTAGTTTAATTAATATATAATTATAAAATTTTACTAAAAAAATTAAAAAAAATTCCCACTATCATAGCCATACAGGTACATTAAGGGCGTGCAATTATTGCTGTGCATTTGTAATGAAATACTCTTCGACCCTCTTTCCCAAGGGTAATAATGATTTGACCCTGACAGCAGCTTCCTCTTATAACAATATAGCAGAGGGAGATGCTGCTAATTTAAAAACAATTACTAACCATGATGATAATAAGATAATTCAGGTTAGAGATTTAAATAAACAAAATTCCCTTTTTATGCCTACATTCACAAACTCATCCTCTTCTCGGCTATCATCATCACTTGCTGACCTACAATCAAGGTTTCAAATTTATAATTTTCATGAATAAAAATACAATTTTTTTAAAAAATTGCTAAATAAAGTAATAATCAACTATTAATTCTTTTTGAATATATGATCACCTGATAATTGTGTTCTATTTGCTATTAAGTATTAAAAAAATGAGTTTGCTTTAAATAATGGCCTGGGTATCAGGCTGGGTTGAGTCTGCAGGTCTCTGATATTAACCTTAGTTTTGATTCTTAAATATGACGTGATTCTGTGGGTGGTTCCAAGTTCTGTTAAGCACTATAAAATGAATCATATTTTAAAATTATGTTATGAAATTACTTACACTTTTGTTCGAGCAGTTTCTGGTTTTTTAAATGGGTTCTAGGTCCTGTTTCCAAACTGAATATAATATCTACCCCACCCATTTATTCAACATCTCTAGGACTATATAAATCTATTTTACTTTATCAATATTTCAAAATTCTCTCCCACCCTCCCCCCATATTTTAACACTTTCGTTAGTCTTAGACTCAACTCAGCATCTCCCATACCGCCAGTAAACATATTTAACTCAGCCTTACGAGTTCCGACCTCCTCGTCCGAATTATATTCTCGCGACTCCTTCAATCGAATCGAGGATGTCATCAGTGAAAGGGACAGTAATTCTCTATACAGTATCTCCAATTGCAAAGAGAGCGGAAGTTACAGTGAAAGATCCCTGAATTCGGATTACAGGCTGGAATACATATCAAAGTAAAGTGGACGATAATATTTGTAACTTGTATCGGAAATACAAATATTTTTTTTATAAATAGGCTGAGCCGATACATTAAAAAGTGCGAATGAAAATATTATATAAATTTTTTTCTTTATTATTTTTTGACATTGAAACATCTAGTTCCAATCTCATATCATTTTTTCGACCCCGGTATCCGGATTCGACTTGTATATAGGCAGGATCAAGATCATTACATTTGTTTTGGTGTTCTCAAGCCATAATATAATTATTTGTTTATTATAACTAAATATGTAGTATGCATGTTACCCAATGACATATAATACCTAGACTGCATTTGAAAGCGTGATTGAATGCAAATCTACTGGACCCGCCATTGGTAACCCATCATTATTAAATTAATAACTTGCTTCCTTATTATCTCGATGATCAGGCAAATCATTAATAAAGTTTTGCGTCAGACATGGAAATAAATTGGCTTCTCGTTTAATAATGATATGGTTAATAAAAATGGCTTCCCCAGCTGTTTTCATAGAGTACACTTTTAATGAATGAATGCATCGTCAGTCTAGGTATTATTATATGTCACATATGTTACCAGAAATTTGTGTAAGTAATACGAGTATTCTTGGCCAAAATTATCTAAAATTTATACGATAAGTATACGTATTTTAGGTATATCGTCATTACATTTTTTCTCAAAAATGATTTTACTTATTTATTTTTTCTTTAAGTTCGAAATCATTTTAAAAAATTTCAAAAATCCAAATTTGCCGTAAATATATCCCAGCACGCCCTAAAAATACTTGGTTCATAAGTTTCAGACAATTTTACGTGTGGTGCATTGCCAGTAAACGTAATGCTTCGTTTAAATTAAACAAACAATATTAGTAGCGTTATGCTAGAATAAAATTTTGTGTTCTAAACATTTATCTCCACATTTAACTAACTATATATATATATGAGAGTTATGTTTTTATTCTTTAATATGCCACCTTTAAGTGCCATGGCCGACCCATTGACCGAAGGTAGCTACCCGTCCTACCCTCCTTTCAATGAATCGGAATATTTCATGATCTCCTCCCCTAACCGCGCTTCAGATCAAAACGATTCGTCCAATTTCGAGTTCGAATTCGATAATCCGGAAATTGAGGACCCGATCGACCAAATAAAGATAAACTTGACCAATCCGCTTAATAACTCCGCCGTTAACAACGCCGTCACATTTTCATCATCGCCATCTTTGAGAGAATCCTTAAACTTCGATACCGTGTTGATAGATGATTCAAGTATGTTTGTTCGTTTTTTTTTGATATTTTACGGCGTCAATCAAATTTTTTTGACTGGAGAGAAAGATTAATACCTCTAAACCTTACCCCACATTTAATAACTGCGAATGCAGGGTAACCCCTTATTGACAGTTAGCTCGGATTCTAAGCCGAGAATACAAAAATGCAGCGTATAATTCTTCGAGATAACGCTCTAACTATATGAATGAGGGGGTTAGAGTTAAAGCTAAAAACTCTCAGTTTATCGGAAAGAATTACTATTCTATATGAATGAGGGGTTAGAGTTAACGCTAAAACTCTCAGTTTACTGGAAAGAATTACTATTCCTTTCTTACCTACTGGGTCTTCGAATAGATCCTGTTAATTAATAAACCAATTTTTATTTTTCCGATCAATATATTTCGTATTAAAACTAATTTGAACATCCTACGGTAAGTATCTCTATATAAATAAGCGAAACACACATGAATCCTTAAATATAAGATGCACAATATAAAAGTATCTAGTGTTGTTTAAGCGGCTCAGGCTAACTTTCAATATTTTATTAGGAAAAATTATTATGCACGCCTTAAGAATTTGCTGATAGGTGGCAAGGTTTGAACATCTATTAACGAAATCTCGAAAATATTTTTCTGGCTAATCTATTGAGTTAGCCGTTTTTAATAATCGGCTAAAATCGAGCCGTTTAACAACAATAAAAGTATCACGGATATTTAAAAAGACTTGTTTATATGGGCAAATAGCATGTTAAGCCTTTTTTTATTTGGATAAATTTTATGATTAGTTCGAACCCGGTTCATTTATCTCCCCAAGGGAACCGAGAGATCCACATCATACAAGAATTCAATGCACCTTATAGCCATCATATTAAAGATTACAATAAGTAGTCATATTTGAATCATTCTCCTGTCATATCATAAACTATTCTATAAATATAGGAAATGAGCAGGAGAAAATTGGGGGAAAAATTAGGGAATTAATTTTTTTCTAGTCCTCTCTGCTTTAATTCTACGCTGCTGATGTGTTTTTTTTGAGGGCCTTTTGGTTTTAAAACAGATAAAGTTTTGTCTAATGAGTGTAATTTATCTTTGCTTTGACTATTATCATGAAAATCTATTCGATTCGGGTAATTAAATAATTGCGATATTCATTATTTAATAAAAAATTATTTCTCCTTTTTCCTGAGATGGATCGATCTTTCAAAATTCTTTTTCTTGTAACAGTTGTGATATCTTTGAATTTTTTTTCTTTCGATTAATTCTTTTAAAGGACGTTGTTTCCAGTTTTTATATACGATTTTTTAAAAACGTGATTCAAAGATTCGCAAGGTGTTATTTATTCATAAACATTTTTATTATTTTATTTATTTTTTTTAGCGGAATGTAAATATGTTCATAAATTTACTTTTTGAAAATTTATTTTATTTATATATAGCAAAAAAAATTTGAAATTTTCATTATTCATATTTTGGTCATTGCGAGAAAATAAAATCCCATTTAAAAGAGAAAAAAATATCCTGTATAATTTTTTTCTAGACATAACAGCGATTTTACACCTTGTATTTCCGACAAATATTTTCTTATATTGCCTTTTAAGTGACGCGCGCATATTAAATGAGTATTAATTTTAATTATTTCCCGAATAGGTTTTACTATAGCCCCTTTCTTAGGTCACTACCAAATATGATATTTTTTAATATATATTTTTATTTTTTTTAAAAAAAAATACAGAATGCAAATGAGGAAAAAAAAAGTATGATAGGTGGTAATATCAGAATTCTCCATGCAAATATATTGGTCCTAAAAATATAGTAGATTCGTCTGTTTTGTATCTTCTTATCTGCTTTGTTATGTGGTTAGCCGAACGATATATTCAGCTGAGCGATAAATACTTAAATTAAAGCTTAAAATAGATACAAAAGTATATCTAAATTTCGCGGATAATATTTTACACATTACAAGCTATCTACATATTTCGCCATTTATCCAATCAATCATTCATAATCAAAGTCAACACTTATTATTAAAATTATTAAAGTTTTTGTCAAACCAATCTGACTTCTGTATATTAGGCGTTGATAAAACATTTAATTTGGGTGATCTATTATACCTTATTGCTATAGTATTTAAACGTATAGCAGTTAAGGAGATATAAAACAGACGAATCCCCTATATTTTGAGGACCAATATTATTTTCACGGATAATTTTGTTATGACCACATATCATACCTTTTTTTTTCTCATTTACATTCTGTATTTTTTTTAAAAAATAAAATAAATATTTAAAAATATTATATTTGGTAATGTCCAAGAAAAAGGTTATAGTAAACCTATTTCGGAAATATTTAAATTTTATACTCATTTAATATGCGCGCGCTATTTAAAAGGTAATATAAGAAAAAAAAATATTTGTCGGAAAAATAAGATGTAAAAATGCCGTTATGTCTAAAAAAATTTTTAACAAGGATATTTTTTTTTTATATGGGATTTTATTTTCTCGGAATGAAAACGATTTATATAATTATTGTAATAATGAAAAATTTTAATATATCTTTTGACCATATATAAAAATAAATAAATTTCAAAAAGTAATTTATGAAACTTGGACAAATAAAAACTGCGAATCTATGAATCACGTTTTTAAAAATCATATATAAAAACTGGAAACAACGTCCTTTAAAAGAATTTTAAAAAAATTCAAAGATATCTCAAATGTTACGAGAAAAAGAATTTGAGAAAGATCTTTCTCAGGAAAAGGAGAATATTTTTTTTTTAAATAATGAACATCGCAATTATTTAATACCCCGAATCGATAGATTGTAATGATACATTAAATAATTTACTTAATAGTCAAAGCAAAGATAAATTACATTCGTTAGATAAAACTTTATCTGTTTTAAAATCAAAAGGCACTCAAAAAAAAAACACATCAACGACGTCGAATTAAAGCGGGAAAGGACTCGAAAAAAATTATTTTTTTCCCAATTTCCCCTGCTATCATTTTCCTACATTTCTAGAATATTGAATATATATCGTCAAATGTATATAATTCTATTAACCTAAATTTATATTTTAAAACTTCTCTATGCCGATATGAACGCACTAATTATATTATAACAACATTGTAATATCAATTTGGTGAAAAAATAATATGTTTTACTATTATCGTTATTAATTTATCTGATTAATAAAAATTTCAAAATTTATAAAAGACTACTACTTCAAAATAAAGATAATGCTATATAAACTAGTGTTGTTAAACGGCTCGTTTTAAGCCGATTTTAAAAAAAAGGCTAACTCAACATTTTAGCCGGAAAAATATTGCTTACCCTTCGAGATTTTGCTAATAGGTCCAAACCTTTGTTCCTTCTACAAAGAAAATCTTCAGGCTTGCGTAATATTATTCTGGATGTTAAATTCAGTTAGCCGTTTTTAAAAATCGGCCCAAAACGAGCCATTCGTAAATATTTTAGTCATCATTGATAGAATATGATAAAATTTAATCAAACACGTTCAAAAATATTATTTATATATTGACGCCATCTAGCAGATAAAATAATATTTTTTTATATTTTTATAAATTGAAGAAAAAAAGTTATGATTAAATTTAATTTTTTTTATACCTTTGTCTAAACATTTATTTTATTTTATAAAAACTAATTAATTCTCAATTAATATTAGTTTTGCGTTTTGTTTATTATAACGTTGTGCCGTATTACACAGATAGAAATAATATACAACTCTCTACACAGAAATAATATATAATCAACGAACTTTATTATTAAAATAATATCGCAAAAAATATCAAATTCAAAATTTACAACTTTATAAAACAAAAAAAAAATATCAATTTTTAATTTACAAGCGAATAATAATTAAAAATAAATAATTAAAAATTAACAAACTAAAAATATCTTCTTTTACAATTATAAAGCATTCTTTCTTTCTTTTTCTTTCTTTCGTTCTTTCTTACTTTCTCATGCCTCAAATTTAAATTATAAGATAAAAATACAATTTTTAGAAATTATGTTTTATCGCATCAATAATGACTTTACAATGTATAACTTTTATAAATCTAAAAATAAAATGTTAACGCGATTAAAAATAAAATTAAATAGTAAATATCATGACTTCCTAAAGACAATTTTACAAAAATCTAAAAATATATAACCAACGCAATTCAACGTTTTTTCAAGAATTAGGCAAACGGATTCGCGAAAAAACCGATCAGCCTAAGGAATCCCTCTTCTTACGCCAAAGACTTGATACCGCCATTATTCGCGTTAACTACCTAAGTTTCATCTCCTCCATAGAATAACCTTCCATATTCCTAGCTTCCTCTTTTTTTATATCCTTATCCTTTCCCGTAAATTCTATTTCTACATTTTTCACCTTTATTTATTTTACATTTTAAAAAATTAATTATTTGCTACTACATTTTGTCAACATATCATATCAGTAAATATTCAAATAAAGTAACCCATGACCGGAAAAAATAAATTATCTCACAACGATTATGAGTCATCTAGAACAATATTTATTTTATTTTATATAACTTTATTTTATCTGTCTTTAGTTTAACATATAAAATCTATTACAAATCAAAATTTTTATTTTCTCTAATTTAGAATATGACAAAATTTTATCAAACACATTCAAAAAATATTATTTTTATATTTTTATGATAAAAAATTTTAAAAAAATAAATATTTAGAGACGCCATCTAGCGGATATAATATTATATCTTTTATAAATAAATAAAAAAATGTTGCGAGTAAATTTAATTTTTTATACCTTGTCTAAACATTTATTTTATTTTATAAAAACTAATTAATTCTCAATTAATATTAAGTGTTGTGTCTTTTTTATATTTTATTTTATCTTATCCCTTATATATTTAACTTTATTTTATCCGCTTTAGTTTTTAACATATAAATCTACATATTTTCTATAAAATTTTTCCTCCATAAAAAAGTCAAAAATCACAAATCTTCAGAAAATCGATTAATTCTCTTTTTTATATTATTTTAATATAATTTTTTTAAAAAAAATCTCAATTCCGAGAAATCTACATATAAAATTGATATTCCTCTAAAAAAATAAACAATAAATTTCTTGAAAAAAAATAATAAAATAAAAAATTTCACTCGATATATCCATATCAATTAGGGAAAGTGAAAACCAACTGGAATTTGATTAGAAATATAATATATAAATGAACGTTATTTAAATAATAAATGATTTATTCTTGGTTAGCCTAAGCGATAAATAGACCCACCCTTTTATATTATATTATTAAATTTTATGTATTTTAACAAGAAAATAAATATTTTATTTATTTAAAAAGGCATTAGAATGTCAGTTAATATAAAAAAAAAATATGTAGAGATGTTTTAACGTAAACTAAGAGTTAATATATATATCGTCGGCTTAGAATTGGAGTGCTCCACTTGCGCAAATGATTAAAATGAGAAAATCAACATTTAAAGTTTAAAATCAAATATATGGGGGAAAGCTTATTGATCGATTTTGGCAGAGCCATAACTTTGACAAAAATTAATATTTTTTTTAATCTAGCTTTTATTTTTTATATATATTTAGGAATAAATAAGTTATTATCCACTTCTAACTCAAAAATTTTGAAAAATGTCGAGTGGAACACTCCAATTCTAGACCGACGATAATATGTCACTTAATGATAAAAGAAAAACATATTTTAACGAAAGTAAGAAAGAACGATTCAAAAGAAAAAGAAGAATTATTTTGAGAATATTTATCCTAAGGTATAGTTAATAATAAAATTGATCAAGTCGAACGCCAATTTATGTTAAAATATTACGACGAGTCGACACTGATTTCTATCAAAAAAACATGGTTTCCCTTTTTTCGACTCTTTGGGTTGTTAAAGTGACGTTTTTTGTAAAAATGTCGCTATTTCTGGTAAAAAAAAACACTATTTGTATATTAACAATATTGTAGTGTGTCTGTTTACATCAATGGCATATAATAATACGTAGACTGACAATGCATTAATAATAATGCATTTTGAAAGCGTCGTTGGATGCAAATCAGTTGTACACGCCATTTTGGTTACCCATATCATATGGTAATTATTCTCATGTTAATAACTACTATTAAATTGATAACTTGCTTCCATATTATCTCGATGATCAGGCAATTCTTTAATAGAATTCGCGTCAGATATAGAAATAAATTGGCCTCTCGTTAAAAAATTTTATTAATGATGCGGGTAACCAAAATGGCGTCCCCAGCTGTTTTTCATTGATGTACACTTATAGTGAATGCAACGTATTATTATTATATGTCATTGGTTTACATAAACCGGGGTTGGGAGGAGAGGGTAGAAGCAGGTTAACGTACTCATGTAAACAGATGATATTTCTCCATAATCGATTCAGTTTATATATATATTATATATATTTTTTTTGTTAAAATAATAATTAGCTTTAGAATTTCCGGTTATCCCGCCAAAAGCGCCCGATAATTCGTGCTCCAATTTTATAATCTACCTATCCTCCGTATACAAAAACATGATGCACCCCGCCAACGGACTCAAGCTTAAATCAAACCGGATGCATTTCAAATCGTTTCCTAACACTTTAACTGGTTTTTTTTTCTTCTTCTCTTCTTTAAATATTTCTCGATCACTTTTACAATGGATATTGGATGTCGGCTACTTTATCAGCTGTTTATATTTATAAAATATTATAAATTTTGATTATAATACGCATTTAAAACACTCGATTACAACAAGGCATATTTTGTAACAAAATTTTTTTATGCACAAAAAATAAAGGTTTTCAAATAATCGATTGGATCGCTAGTCACCATCGCGAAATAGGATCGAAGCTGCAAGCTTGCGCCGTAGCCAAAGCCCTAATCGATTTTGATTACCTGACCCCCGCGAACTACAACAATTCGAATCTTAGTTCTTACGCGGGCGAGAAGCCGCCGCCCCCCTTCCACGAAAAACTGGAATTTCGGGAGAACGATCTTTATAGGCCCGGCTTAGCCACGGTTAAGGGCATTAAACTCATAAAACCTTCCGACCTCGAGCTTTACACTCTTCGAAATCCTATATTGCTCACTATAGACCTTTCTTCAGTTTCTAGTAAGTTTAACTCTTTCCTTATGACAATTGATCGGCTCTAAGATTAATGACTTTTTTTGTTGCTAATTTCTCAGACCGATTGATGATGTAATGCTTATACAAAAAAAACACATGGTTTTTGAATGACAGCTGTGGCTCTCGATAATTCGATTGCCCTTCGGGACCAGTTTTTTTCTTCTGAAATCTAACTTCACCAGGTAGAATTTAAAAATGTCACCAGATGCTGTTTAGTAAATTGCTATACGGTGACACATTCGTTCTTGATCGCTTGCTATTTTTTACGAGATATGTTAAAAGTAAATAACTTTGAATAAACCTTGCCATTTCAAAATATATTTTTTTAAAACTAACCTATCACAATTTTATATGACCATTCTATCCTCCACTCTTGATGATTAAATTTGAATATTGAATATCTGAGAAACAATTTCATTTTCTGGCGTACCCCGGGTTTCAAAATGTTTGTTGGAGTCAGCCCGATTTTTACGTTTTTGCTAAATATCGGACCCGGGTTTCAAAATAAAAATCTCAGTTCTGGTTCTACAGCTCTATTAAATATTTTAAATAGTTTGCCCGAGAGACTTGTTTTTATTCGTACAATATTACATAATTAAATTTTTTAAAAAAACGGTAAAAAATATTGGTTTAACAAAATTTTTAGATTTGTTATTTAGGGGAAAAAAAGCTAGTTTATTTAAAAATTAAAATAATCAAATTTGACAAAATAAAACGAAGTCATAAAAATGATTGTGATAAAGAAGGAGAAAAAAAATATGCAACAAAATATTTAAAATGATTGTGATTGATCATGCAAAACCGCCTCCATATGAGCCGATTCGTAAAAACGGCTAAATCAGATCTTGAAGATCAATCTCTATATTTTAGAGGCAATATTTTCATGGGTAAAACTTGAGTCATCCCGTTCTAAAAATCGGGATTGAATCACTAATTGTAGGGTAATAATGAAGATTTTTCTATAAAATATTGGAAGATTATGTTTTCTATACTGAACTGATGGTAGTAAATATTAAATTTATTTTTAAGGCTGTGTTCAGAATTATTTAATCACTAATTGTAGGGTAATAATGAAGATTTTTCTATAAAATATTGGAAGATTATGTTTTCTATACTGAACTGATGGTAGTAAATAATAAATTTATTTTTAAGGCTGTGTTCAGAATTATTTAATCACTAATTGTAGGGTAATAATGAAGATTTTTCTATAAAATATTGGAAGATTATGTTTTCTATACTGAACTGATGGTAGTAAATAATAAATTTATTTTTAAGGCTGTGTCCAGAATTATTTAATCACTAATTGTAGGGTAATAATGAATATTTTTCTATAAAATATTGAAAGATTATGTTTTCTATACCGATTTGATGGTAGTAATAATAATAAATTTATTTTTAAGGCTGTGTCCAGAATTATTTAATCACTAATTGTAGGGTAATAATGAATATTTTTCTATAAAATATTGAAAGATTATGTTTTCTATACCGATTTGATGGTAGTAATAATAATAAATTTATTTTTAAGGCTGTGTCCAGAATTATTTAATCACTAATTGTAGGGTAATAATGAAGATTTTTCTATAAAATATTGGAACATTATATTTTCTATACTGATTTGATGGTAGTAGTAATAATAAATTTATCTTTAAGGCTGTGTCCAAAATTATTTTAAATAATTCGAAAAGTTTCAAAACTTTGGCAAATTTTGAAATTTTTAGAATTATGTTTTCATTTTTATATTTAAAAATAGCTCATTTATTTATTTTCATTAATGTTTCGAAAGTTTGTGAAATTAAAGATGTTTTGGACAGAGCATAAAAAAAAACAAAAATAAACAGGTTTGTTTTTTATTCCGAAAAAAACGACGGCTTCAAATCCCTATCTAAATATAATCCTTTTTTCTTATCTTAATGATCCAATTGAATATAATAAAAAAAAATTTACTCTTCTCAACCAATGTCAAAAGAATAGAAGAAAATATTTTTAAAGTTAATAATATTACGTCCTGATAATTATATTATACTATATCCACTTTTTGTCAAAAACGACTTTTTTTTTAACATAAATCAATTTTTTAATATTATATTATTCTATTTACACAAAAAAAAATTGGAAATATATATAATAATGGGCACGAATTGAGCGTTTCAAACGCTGCTTCGCAAGCGCCAATAGTACCTTGGCCTTGTTCAAACTGGTAAAATTACCGTTTGGCGTTAGCAACCATTTTAAAAAAAACGCAAATTGGTTTGATTTTTCATTACTTTTTATTATTATTCGTCGTGTAATATTATATACAAATGTAATATAAATATAAATAACTTACTTTTTATCCTAAAAAGGAATTTATAAATTAAAGAAATAAGAACGCAGACGATAATATAATTTAGACAAAAGAACTTATTTAAAATTTTGAATTGACGGATGGATGGATATTAATATACAAATTTAATATAAATATAAATAACTTACTTTTTATCCTAAAAAGGAATATTTATAAATTAAAGAAATAAGAACGCAGACGATAATATAATTTAGACAAAAGAACTTATTTAAAATTTTGAATTGACGGATGGATATTAATAAAAAGGCAACCTTAATTTAAACAAGGGACGTGTTACGTTTTTTTTTATTAAAAAAATTACGGCAAAACATAAACGCTCAATTTGTGTGCAACTATGAAATATGATAAATTATAGCCAATATAAGGCTAAATATCCTATCGAAAAACAAAAGAAATTTTTTTTTTTTTAGAAATTGCTCTCCTAGATTACGAAAAGTGGGAGATAGAATAATCTAATTCTCAGAAAGACGAATAGTAAAAAAAAGGTGTTTGGACAAAACAATTGCACGAGTTGCTCGGCCCATATTTTTAGCCAGATTAAGTGATAAAACGGGCAAAAACAAATCGTAGGTTTAGTATTATAGTGGTCTATATACATTTTGAAAAAAGTGTTTCAGGAGTGCATTTTTAAAAAAAAATATATATTTCTTGTATTTTTTTTTTCCTAATCTGTGAGGATCACGATGCTGATAATGTAAATCTTCTCCGTTTAATGGCGAATTTCCAGGTTATTCAGTTTCCCTTCTGATTTTTCTTCTCCATTTTTGATTGACGGTCCCGATCATCCATATTTGTAATATTCATCTTCCAATCATACCCGCCGCTATCACCTTTAACCGCGCCATCCTACGTCTTCCTCGCGGAAGGAATTTATTTAATCATAATTTTGGACATAAATGTATAAAAATGTCATCTATTTTAGTAGCTTTAAATTTTTTAACATTTAGGATTTGTTGGTGTTAGAGAATATAGTACTAACGATATTTATCAAAAACAAAAATAAACATTTTCCCAAATACTATAAATTCTATTTCCCCATTTAATTATAAAAGCTACGAATTTGAATAAATTGAAAGAAGTAAAATTGAACGATTCTACCCAAATGATGTCTTTCAAATCTTTGATGTCACTCAAGGATATCGAAGATAAGGCAATACATTTGGATAAAGTATATTTTTAGAAATTATTTTGATTTCTTATTTTTTTTTTACTAAATAACGATCATAAACTTATCTGCGGTAAATTCCGAAGTCGCCTGGATTGTGACTCACAGTCACTGAACTCGATATAAATATGTTAGCATTAATGAGTTTTTTTCTCAATGTCTTATTTTTCCACCTTTTTTTTAAAAAAAAAATCTTTACCGGAAATGAATTCCAGTATGTTTAGTCAGATTCCGTTAACCTATTAGTCTAAAATTTATATTTTAAAAAAAAATCTACGGAAAAAAGTTTCGTGGCAAAATTTTTCTAAATATCAAACACGTCCTGGAATATATTTCCATCAAAATGATTACCTATTCAAATTTTTTTTTTTTTAAAAAAACGCGCTCAAATGGTGATTTAAGAGGTAGAAATATGACGCGTTAACGCTAACGCGATTTAATCTCAACTCAAATAAAAGGAGCTCAGATTAATGAATGCGAACAAAATTATATATTTATCAGAGACCCGCAGATGTAACATTAACGCGGCCATGCCCGAATTTACTTAAATTTATTTTTAATTTTTTATATTAATAATGGCCATTTTGGCCCTGACCGAGTATGCCGCCCAGCCCGTGTACCCGAGCCGGGCCTGCAGGTCCCTGATATTTACTACAAAAATAAATAGCGTCATTAAAAAAGGATTTAAAAAATGCGCGATTAATCTTCTCCGTTTAATGGCGATTTCCAGGTTAGCCAGTTTCCCCTCTGATTTTTCTTTTCCATTCAAACTATTTAATGAAGTCATTGTATAGAAATTATTTTATTGGGTTACCATTCCTCGTTCCCACCGTAGTTTCCATTATTTTTGTAAATCCAAACATGATATTTTCCTAATCACGATTCCCATGGGGAGGGGAGCTGGTCGACTTTTCGCTGATTACTCTGATGATATCCGGTTGGCAGAGTAAAGTTCATCCGAGGTAGAGAGGTGTAATAAAAGTTGGTGGTGTTATGTTAGTTAAGCTTTTTTTAGAAGTAGAAGGATAAAATGTTGTATTAATGGCCGAGTTATAATTAAAAATAAACATCATATTTTTTATGCTAAAATATTAGAACGCCAATCAGGTTATAGAACACGATCAGGTGGAGTCAATAAATCTCGAATACAATAACGCCGAATATAAACGTCGTTGGTATTTACCAAATATTCATGAATATTTATTATTATTATTAAAAAAATAAATCTGACCCGGATTTTTCCTAAGGATCCAGCCGGTTCTTTTAATGGCCGCTTATATTAAGAATGGCTGGTTTATATAATAACGTGTTTATTTTTGAAGTTTTATATAATTACAATTTTTTTAAAAAAATATATAATGAAAAATCCCTAAAATTTACATTCTAAATTATAAGAGAGTTAATAAATATTTATAGAAAGAAAGAAGGAAAGAAAGAAATAAAGAAAGAAGGAAAGAAAGAAAATATTTGGGTTTGATGCTGATACCAGTAAAATAAAAATGGAAAATAACTGGTTCCAATTTGTTATATTTTTCTTAAAAGTAACTCCTTACTGTTACCTTTTTTTGAAAAGTTACAAGTTAGAGCTACATTTTACTTATGAATCAGCTAGTTATAAGGTATAGTTGAGTAATTACTAGATTGTTACAGAAAAAATAACTGTACACGTTATCTGTTAATTTTTAATTTTAACTGCATAAACCCCAACCCATCTTTTTCTTCAATTTTCTAAATATCATATTATTATTATTCATTCACTTTATAGCGAGACGTCTCTCTTAACTAATGGCCTTCATATCGAATCGATAACGCGTAACCATCTGTGGGAAATTTTGAGTCAATGCTTAGCTTTGGCGACCTTACAAAACCCCGAGGTCACAACCCTCGACCGCGTCGATATGGCCAGGCGAATTTATTCACTAAGCGATTCTATCTCGTCGCTTGTACGGATAGATAATAATTATCACAACAGCCACAACGATGAATCTCCCAGCATCGATATACGCGACAGGGTCAAGGTCAAACGTTTACCCTCTTCAAGAGGAAAAGTATTCGAAACGTCTAAGGGAGAGTTCGCTAGCGGCGAAGGGGAAGAAATCGCTTTATTCCCGGGTCTGGTTTTCACGCACAATCTCGTTTACAAAGGTATGCTGGCCAGGTGTAGGGCCGGTTCAAATAACCCCATCAACTCCTCAACTAACGGCGGCGAGACGTTGTTGGAACTCATGCAGCCCAGCCTACTAATGTTGCGAGGGCCGATAGAATACCAGAGAGGGGGAGGGATCGAGAAGGTGACTTCGTCCCTGGAATTAAGACGACTGAGTTCCTTGGAGCCTATCATCATGCAAGAGAAGGAATACCTCAAAAATGTGGTGGCTAAGATAGGTTATACATATAAAAACAGGAGAACATTTTTAGGGATGGAGATGGGTGGTGGGAGAAGGGTGTTAAAAATTTTCTAGTATCATATCTCAACATGGGTATCAAATAGGCGCCTAATCACTTCTACATCCGCAAGGTAAGTGTGGTGATATATTAAAAAGTTTTTTAAGCATAATATTTCAAAAATGAGCAATTAATTTATATGGATAATTATAACTAGTATATAAGAGTGGGATGGAAAAGCTAAAAAATTATAACATAATTATTCAATATTGGTATCTTACAAAAGCTAATATTAATATCTATTGATAACAGCTTAGTTACTCAATCACTATGTCTTTAGGAGCATTCTGACTTTCTAACTTTTTCAAACCTGGGTAATTATACCGTGAAAGAATCCGGAATTATCTAATTTACTCCATTTTTATTTAGCCGAAACCATATTTGCAAACCCAGAAGATTCACTTTTTTAAAAAAATAAGCCCTCGTAACCAGTAATTTATTTTATTTTGAGGAGCTATCAAGGACTACGACAACGTGGTGGGGGGGGGAGGGTGGGTGACTTAATACCTTCATTGAAATTTGAGGGTGCGGATGTCCACCGGAATCGGAAGGGGGGGGGGCAATGTATACAAATTCTTAAAATCGAAAGTATACTAAAGAAAAACTTAGCAATTAAGTAATTAGTTCTGAGCATTTTAGTATCTTTTTCTGAGATCGTTTCAATTTTATACCTAACCATTTAAGTATTTATTCTAGAGACCATCAGAGAGAGGTAACATTTGCACAGGCCGGCCCGGATTTTTTTTTCAAAAAAAAATTCGGTTTCGGCACAACACGTGTTTTTTATTTTTAGGCCCGGCCCGGGTATTTTTTTAAAAAATCGATTTTGAGCTTTTAAAAAATTTATTTTCTGAGCGATTAAATAGGAGCCTTTTTTTATGGAGTAAATTTCGTGAGAAATATTATTTAAAGATGGAACTTTTCAAGGTGATCGCTTCAAAATTTACTAAAACAGCTGTCTCTACTCTTAGAAGAATTAAGATAACCCCTAACCCTAAAGGGTGGGAAATATATCTTAATACTAGTGTTCTCATCCTTACTACTTTATGTCAGTAATTTATCAATTTTGATTATTATTTTTTATTAAGGCTCTCTTAAACCCGATCTAGTTATCGTCCAAAACATGGTGAGTCACACTGCCCGCGAACTTTTTGCCGAAGCTGGCATCCCATTGCTTCACAGCTTGAGCAAGGGTAAACTATTTCAAAATCTGGCCTGCCTCACCGGGGCCGATATTATCCCGCCTTTTCTCGAAGGAGGACAGATGACTATGCTCAAACCCAGACTCGGTCTGTGCAAATGTTTTCGGTTGGAGAAACGGACCAACAAAGTAATAGTGTTCGTCGAGGCTTGCCCAGTCCTAATCTCTCATAGCGTGAATAGCGGAGAAGTTAAGTCTAACCACCTTTTGGATTATTGCACCGTTTTGCTGAAAAGCCCCCGAGCGCTCCGTGTAGCTCCTGCCTTGAAACGAATTATCAAATTTGCCATTTTTTCTGCTCGCCACCTTAGTATTCTTCGATCCTTCCTAAACTTTCACGCGTCTTCAAACGCTTTAGTGAATTCCAAGTTTATCTTTGAGTCAATAGCCTCCTCCTATCCCAAGATAATAAGTTACGCGCCAGAACAAGATATTGATAGTATACGCGAGAGCGAGACGCGCTTTAAGAGCCTGATGCTATTAAAGAGCTCTCTTTTTTCGCTACCGTCTTCTTACAATTTTAATGAAATGCGTCGGGTAGAGGAGTACGAACAGCTACTTGATAATCTGGTGTTATGCATTACTCCAGGAATCAAATTTTCAGTTCCTCTTCTTGAGTTACCGGAAACGGATACCGATCAGCTAAACCTATTGAGTTTGCTTCCGCGTGACTTGTATTACTCCCCTCCTTTCGCATCAGAATGTTGCGACAACAAAACCGATTCGAATTCAAGCGTTATATCCAATGAAAGCTCTTCATCGCGTAAAGATACGCTCACAACATCACTCAATCAATTTACCTGTTCTACCGATGATGATGACTTTATCGCCGCGTTTCGTTATGGCGATCTCGACAATACCATTCCATCTCCACCTATTGCCTCCTCGCCTTGTGAAGAAGATGACGAAAAACGGGAGGAGCAATCGGAATCCGCCCCAAGAATCGATTGTTTCGACACATTTCACCTTCAAATTCTTCGATTTCTTTTCTACAGTTTTGCGTCACGTGGTTCTATTCAGCCAACAACCCGTCCCTCCTCATCCTCTCATTCAGGCGACTATTGCATCGCTCCCCGCTTGGTGACCGCCCATTTTTACGGAGCCCATGATGTTAGTTTGCGTAACTTTCTTCGACGTTTTTGCTTTGATCCTGATTATGCCTGTCCTAGTCCACGTCCTTGCAAGGCCTGTCCAGCTGACCATGTGCGAAGATTTGTGCATGGGTCTGTTCGCATAGATATATCCCTTTTAAAAACGATAACGTTGAGCAGCTCTTCTAATATCAGCCACTGGATTGCTTGTCGAGATTGTGGGGCACGTATAGCTTCTTCCCCATTTTATAACGCGAACGCGTTGGGATTGTCTTTTGCCGCCTTTCTTGAGGCTCTTTTTTATGATGACCCTCTGTTCAAACCAATAACCACTTGTCAAATTCTTGGTTGCCCTTCCACTAAACGTGCCAAAATTTTCTCGGCGTTGCCCGTTCATTACTTTGGTATGGGAGAGGTGACTGCCTCCTTCACAGTCAAATCTATTACCCTAGGTCGCATAGTTTTTCCGCCCTCACCACTGCGCTACAATCTTGACTACGACCAGATTGTGTGCCATTTATCGCACGAATTTCAAAACCTCACCGAAGTAGGCCAAAGCTCTTTCGGCGCTGTGTTAGATAGGCTTCAACTATATAGCGTGGACGCGAAAGCATTAGGTGCTCCCGTCGTTTCTTCGATAAGCGATTTGTCTCTCATCGCCAAGGTCGACGAATACGTTGATGCCCTCGAGAAAGATAGGATAACTTTTAATGATTCTATCCATCGTTTCCAGTTGGCACTGATGCAGATGCCCGAGAAAACTCGTTCCCTTATCGCTTCCACTAGAGGAGAGCTAATAGTAAACAATGATAATATATTGATGACCGTCGAAAACTATTTAGGTGAAACGAAATCTTTGCTATCCAGTTTCGTGTATTATTGGAATCTGCACATGAGCGAAATATTTCTCACGTTGAAGAACGAAAAAAATATTAAAATCGAGAAAACATCCGAATCACACGACAAACCTAAGGACAAAATGGAAGGGAAGGAACGCTTGAACGCCTCCGCGACCATCATACCATCTATAAGTCATCAAATCGAAGATGCCGATCATGTCAACCCATTTAAAACTTCCCTAGTCAAAGAGGACTGCAACGATGATAATCAGGATTGCAAAGATAAAACGACGTTAGTGGATGGAAACAGGGATTCGAATCGCAAGGAAACCAACTTCACTGTCAATTTGAAAAATAAATTCGCCTCCTTTTTAACTAATTCCGTCTACGAGCCCATTAATGCGCCCTTTTCTCAGTTCGAACATTTGAATTTACCCTTTAACGGGAATGACCACCTGAGAGTTAACGTGTCCGAGGAGATACCTAGCTCTATAATCGCGTACTCTCTTTCCACGCTTGAACACGACGCGAGAGTCAAAGAGAAAACACGGAATAGTCGGGAAGTAATTAATAAGTCCGTGGCTAATACCGCTAGTACTGAGGCGCACGAAAAACAAACATTGACGATGGACTCCGCTTTTGTTAGCAAGGACGCCAATAACGCGTCCGATAAAATCGAAGAAAGCGTTACCAATAGCAGAGAAAAGGATGGGGCGGAGAAGCCTAAAAACGATCATCACTTGGAAATGCATTTCAACGACAGCATAACATCTGCCAAGTTTTACTGCAAAATATATTTCGCTTCCAATTTTTCTCGTTTACGTTCGGTACTTTTCCCGTCGGGGGAAATTCTCTTTTGCCGTTCCCTTTCGCAGTCGGCTAAATGGTTGTCCGGGGGCGGTAAATCTGGGTCTAGTTTTAGCAAGACGCGGGACGGGCGTTTTTTGTTGAAGCAAATGTCCCGCCTAGAACTCCAATCCTTTTTAGATTTCGCGCCTTACTATTTTAACTATGTTCACGATTGCATTCCCTGTTCGCCGGTCGCCTACGACAAGACCTACATTAAGGATAGCGGGTTCGGGAGCAACGGGATTAAGATAATCTCCTTGGCCAAAATCGTGGGCGCCTACCGGGTTTCCTGTAAAAATTCTTCGAACAACACTTCCTTTAAACAGGACGTCATAGTGATGGAAAACCTATTTTACGACACTTCCAATATACAGTACGTATTCGACCTGAAAGGCTCCATGCGAAATCGATTGGTTAACGTCGACGCGAACAACGAGCCCGAAGAAAGGGGCGGCGGCAAGGACGGATCCTCCAGCAAACGCGATACGGGAGAAAACCAGAATATCGTTACGAATACTCCACAATTTACCATTCCCTCCTCCTCCGGTGTTCGGGGCCTTAAAATTGTTACCGGTAAACCCAACGAGCCTCCCACGAAAAACGAAAAAAATTCGCAAGATTCTAAAGTCGCAAAGTCGTTAAATTTCAACGAAACCAACGACGACATTAAGCCCTCTTCGATAGTATTATTGGACGAAAATTTCATACGCCTCACCCTGGATTCCCCGTTGTACGTCCACGCACATTCCAAACTGATCCTCATGACAATTCTAGAGCGGGATACCGCGTTTCTTGCTCAACATAAAATCATGGATTATTCGCTGTTGGTGGCCTGGGACTCTTACCACAAGAATTACGTCGTTGGCATTATCGATTACATTCGTACGTTCACGTGGGACAAACGTCTAGAAATGGTCGTCAAAAAATCGGGAATCCTGGGGGGTCAGGGCAAAATGCCGACCATCGTCTCGCCTTCTACTTACCGCCACCGCTTTTTGGAAGCCATGAAAAGTTATTTCTTGGTCGTTCCGGACCATTGGTTCGGCTTATCGAATTACGCCAATATTTAAAATTCGTTTATTATTATTATTTAATTTATTTATTATTTATTTATTATTATTTAATTTATTTGTTATTTATTTATTTAAAAAAATGGATGAACTCATAGTATTTATACAATTCGGACACATAATATATTATATAATAAATATAAGCGTTGATTTTTTATATGATATGCTTCGAAACTAGAAGGATGGTATGATCGAATAAATACGTTCGAAAAAGTCCATTTTTTTTAGCCCCCTACTAAAATATAGGATTGCGTAATTTTGATTGGCTAAATTAGAGCCATTTAGCAACACTAAGCTTTAGGGGATCCAATAGAAATAAGCATTTTTTTTGATTTTGTCAACGATTGCATAATTTATTTATTTTTTTGAAAGTTATTTTTTTTTGCGACCAAAATAAATTAATTTACGTAATCATTATTTCAAATATAATGCGAAACAAATTTTTTCAGGGGAGATAAAAAAAATAGAATTCGAGATGGTGGTGAGATATTACTAAGTATTCAAAATTTTCCCAGCTGGGCCGATCCGGCTCGGGCTAATTTTTGTAAAACAGTTTTAAACGTAAACTAAAAATATCAGCTGTTTAATTTTTTTTTAAATATATTTATGTTAGCGTCAATGTGTTTTTTTTTCCCGGCAAATATTATTTTTTTCAACTTTAAATCATTTTTTTTTGAGCACGTTTTTTTTTAAAATTTAGATTTCACAGGAAACGTTTTCTATCATGTTTGGAATACCTTACCCTATAAATATGAGACAATTTCTCTTATGAACTTTTCAACTTAATATCATTTATATTAGTTTTTCCATAGATTTTTTTTAATATATAAATTATAAATGACTCAAAGATTAAAACTGGAAAAAATTATCTGATATTCATAAGATGGGTGTTCTAAACCAATGACATATATAATACCTAGACTGACGATTCATTCATTAAAAGTGTAGATCAATGCAAATCAGCTGGAGACGCCATCTTGGTTGCTAATCATTATTAAAAATTTAAACGAGAGCCTAATTTATTCGGTTAATGATGCTTACTACCAAGTGAATGTATGGAAATATTCTAAATACCAACCTAATTTGCTAAATACCGACCAAAATTTATTAAAATGTAATAAAATCATTATTATTTAATATATTAATACGGAATCACGTGGTCGAGTCCGGCCTCCTATATATTATCCCCGCAAGGATGGAACCTCGGGACCATGGGATCAGTAATCCAAGCTCTTGCCTACTAGGCCATAGAGCCTTTCCAAAAATCACGATTTTTCAAATATATATTATAAATATATTTGGTAGTGCCTATCCAAATGAAAAATGAACAAAATTCAAATTTGATAGGTAGTACCTTAAGGTAGTAAACATCATTAACCAATTTATTCCTATATCTGATGCAAACTTTATTAAAGAATTACCGGATCATCGAGATAATAAGGAAGCAGGTTATCAATTTAAGTAGTAGTTTTTAACATGAGAATAATTACTATGTTACCAAAATGGCGGGTCCAGCTGATTTCCTTTTAACGACGCTTAAAAATGCATTTTAATATTATATATGTCAATGTTTCTAAACATACTGGAATACATTTCCGGTAAAATCCCATTTTTAAATTTAAAAAAGCGCGCTCAAAAAAATGATTTAAAGTTGAGAAAAATAACATATTGACGTTTAACTTACATACTACTTATTATTGAGACGGATGAGATTAATTTTATGGTTATATTATTATCCTTATGTACAAATTGATAAATTTCCGATTCTCGTTAGACAGCTTTAATTTGTTAAAGCTAAAAATATGATTAGCTGTTTAATCTTTTCGTATTTTAATTGCCTATTATTAGTGATGTATGAAGGCATTTGCCTCTAGGAAGAACCCAAACCTCAAAACCACCCTCCCCCCCCCCGCGTCACTACGCCACTGTTGTGTAAACAATTTTGTAATGAGAGAGCAATGGATGAAAGTTACTGACAGAAATCATATTGTTTAATATACATTTCAGTTTTGAAAAGTAATCCCATTATCAAGTAAGCACAATTTTGGCACTCTCTATTCAAATGAGTGCATTACGTTATATCACGATACGAAAGCTTCGATAGTCATTGCCATAATAATAAAGGATTGAATAGTTTCAAGTCCAGCTGACATAAATATTTAAAATTCAAATGACTATTATAACTGCAATTTTAATTTTTAATAAGAGATTTAAAAATAAATGTCCATCAAAATTTCTGTGTAACTATAATTGGTTGAAATCGCCTTTTTGGTCAGAAATGAGAACCTAAACCCGAGCCGTCAGCCCATCGTTTTATTGAACCCAAACCAGTTTCGTTTTTAAAAAAATTAGGGGGGTTCAGAGTTCTTCAAAGATATGATTTTTTATATATTTTCCATATTTAAAAAAAAAAACTTTTCCCATTTTTTTAGAGGAATTATTTTATCTTAATTTTGTTTTTTAAAAAAAAACATTATTATAATCACAATTTTTTTATAAAATATTATTTAAAAACAAATGTTATTTTATTTTAAACTGTGTTTAGGCTCCACAATTATGGATTATTGAGTTTTTTTTATCACACAGATTTGTACCGATTTAATTGTTAGATTTGCACCACAACCATTTTGTAGATATTTTTAGAATTTTAGAAATAAAACAATATTTAGATCGGTAGAGAATGACTTGTATAGATTTGTCACGTTATTTTGGATTTGATTTATATACCATTACAAGTCTCCCAGATATTGACCGTTAAATTCTTGACGCTAAAAATAATAACATCTTTTAAAGTAGGATTATATTTTATTTTTTTTTGATAGAAAGCGATTAGAGAATCTTTCCTTCCTTCCTAATGGGGTTTAAAATAATTTTTATCTTCATAAATTTTACCTAAAAAAATTAAGCTTTAAATTTTGAAATATAAGTGTGTAGTTTGTGAAAAAGTTATAAAAAAATAAATACCCTTACAAATCCCTTCCTACATTTAAATTACAATTTAAGGACAACTAACTCAACTAGAATCTCTTCTAAGAATTTCAGAACAGTTATTTCGTAACAACACGATACTTTTATTACAATATTTTATTAATATGATTTTTTAAATAACCAATTTTTTATAAGAAAGAAAAAAGTAATTCCACAAATTTTTATCAGAAAAATCATCATTTTTCCCAATTTTATTACGTGATATATAGCGCATATGCCCTCTAACGTTGAGTATCAACAGAGCTACGCTAGGTTTTCCTCATTCCATCTAATTGGAAGCAAAGTTAATTTGGGTATTTAAAAATAAATATGAGGAGCCCTAACACAAACATTTTTTATATCACGTGTTCTTTAATATTAATTATAATCCAATCAACATAATTTATTTTGGTTGATTGGCATTATGCAAAAATTAATATAAATTCATATATAAAACTACGACAGTTCGGTTTCACCTTTTCTTAATTTTTAATTATCGTTTTTTTGTGATAATTTAATGTTTAAAGTTTTTGCGCCATTAATGAAAAAAAAAATATTTTAAAAGTAAAAATTTTGGGAATTTTTTTTAATAAAAGAAGTGATCTAGTGTTTTCGGCTCTGAGCCGATCCAAGCCTGAAGATTTTACTCATAGATTGCACAAAGATTTAGACATCTATTAGCCAAACCTGGAGCCTTAGGCAATATTTCTTTGGTTAAAATATTGAGTTAGCCGTTTTTCAAAATCGGTTCAAAACGAGCCGTTTAACATATCTATTAGAATAAAAATAATCATAAAAAAAATTAATTTTTTGGTCAAGACAAAAAAAAATAATTGATTTAAAACTTAAAAAGCGCAGTTTTTTTTCTAAAGTTTTTCCCCAACTGATTCCTACTAGAGAGAATTCAAGTTATTATAAGTATTTTCGGGTTAGAACAATTTTTTTTTCACTCCACGAGTCAATTTTAAAAAAGATTTTATCATTGTTTGCATTCTTATTTTTTAAAAAATTAAGATATTATAAAATAAATTAAATCAATAATAATAAAAATTTATAAAAACTGAATCATGAAATAAACATATGTTTTTTTTTCTTTTCCTTGCTTTTAATGTATCATATCCTTTTTTTCCTTCATCGAATATTATTTATTTATTTGATTAAAAAACACAAAATATTAAATAAATTATAAATATGAATGAAAATGATCAGTAAATCCCGCGCGAAATCCTAGGAATTTCCAGCACGCTTTCGCATTTAGCTAAATATAATTTATCGCCCAATCAAATGACCATAGCAACCGACCAATCCGCTAACTACAATTCGAATCCCTTCAATTCCCAAACGGGCGGCGTGTCAACCTGTTACTTCGATAAGTTAACCGATAAATTGATCCTGCAAATTTTTTCTTACCTGGAAAAGAAATATCTTTTACTTATCGCTAGCGTATGTAAGAAGTGGGAACAGTGGGTAAGGAATCCGGCTCTTTGGCAAGATGTCTCCTTCAGGACGGAAACGGGTGGAATCGAGGTTAATGAATGAATGAGTAAATCGTCGCTCGATTATTATTATTATTATAGTGTTCTATCTCCATTCCACTTTTCTAATTTTTACTTTTATCTTAACCCCGTAACCAAATCATAAAGTTAAATAAGGTGATTTCGATATCTGTTATGCGTATATTTTTTTTGACGAACATATGTCATTCATAAAGCACGATGTCATAAAAAAAATTAGATCATATAAAAAAACTGAATTTTCTTAATTTCCGTTTTCTTTCAAATATATTCGTTTTTTTTTGTAAATAATAATATTTTTTACAAAATATTTTACCCCTCCTCCCTACCAGTTAGATAATTCAGAATTGTGTACTAAGCTAATCTCCGAAAGATTTTCTCAGTTAAAAAGGTTAGAACTTTCTACAGATTTAATAACCCCCGTAGTTCTTGGAGAATTGGCTCAAAAATGCCCAAATTTACAAAGTTTGACATTAGATTTCTCCTCCGCGATGCAGGTTTTTATTATAATAAACAATCATCAATTTCCATTACATCCTTAAATTTTTATGCGGAGACCTGCAGAGGTACCATTAGCACTGCCAGACCCGGATTTTTTTTTTGAAAAATTATTTTAGGCCTGACCGTCTCGTCTGATCTTTATTATGATTATCAATTTCGGAGAATAGAAATTTTGCCCATTTCAAAAATTTATTTTAAATTATTAAATAATTTCAAAGAATTATCAGAAATCAACATGAAATTATAGATTTATATTCTCTTTCCTTATCCCCATATAAAAGATTTTTTTTTTGTATGATTAGCTCCATGATTTCACCGAACTCAACACGTTTCCTTCTAGGTTAATTTATCTGTGCATCTACTTGTCGGACGTCATATTCATGGAAGGGTTTATGCGGAAGATTTATAGCTATTTAACAACCATAGAAATTTTTCATTTGATAGGTTTATTATTGTTAATTTATATAAAATAGAATTTTATAAAATTTGACTATTTATATACTGGGGCATGGTAGCCCACGGTTATATAATCAAGTCAAGTAAGTTCGCTTTTTCTTCGTTACCATCTGGGCCGATTAATCATCCGAATTTTATAAATGGCTTCCAACTAATAAAATCCTCTCTACATATGTCATATAACTTTTGAAATAAATAAAGTATTTTGTGATTCGATAAATTTCTCTTATAATATGCACGAATTTTAACAAAAAATAAACAGGAAATAGATAATTTTTAAAGATAAACAGAACAGTTAATATGAATATAAAATTTGTAAAAACAAAATTAAATGACAATTATATGAAATAATAACTATTAATTGGTGGTATATAAGTAAGTATAAATAATGAGATCGAAAAAGTAATAATTAGTGTTGTTAAAACAGCTGTATCAATATTTTAACCAGAAAAATATTGCCTAAGCCTGTAGATTTCGATTATATAGGTCTAGACCTTTGTTCCTTCTATGAGAAAAATCTTCAGGCTTGCATAACATTTTTTTTAGATGAAATATTGAGTTAGCCGTTTTACAAAATCGGCTCAAAACGAGCCTTTTAATAACACTAGTAATATTCAAAATTTTTACGTTTTAATTTTTTTTATATTCATGTTATTTTTAGAATAATTTTGTAGATTATCTATAATATATTATTTTAATAAATTAAATTTGTCATCTTCAATTCTTGATTTTAAAGAATTAGCAATCGAAATGAGAAATTGATTTTCTTAAAAAAGGATCATTCTATTCTGAGAACTCTTTCCAGATAACCAACATAAATGTCAACTAAAATTGCCAAAATATTTTTCGACCTTTAACTGGAGAGGAGAGGATAGTGCTGTTAAGAGACTCTATTTGAGCCGATTTTTCTAAAAAAAATGGCTAACTCAGCTGTTTTATCCAGAAAATAAAAAGATTAACGCGAACCTGGAGATTTTGGGTCATAGATTGGCAACAAAGGTTTTGGGGCAACTATTAGCCAAATCTCTAAGGCATATCTGGCTAAAATATTAAAGTTAGCCTATAGGGGAGAGGATAATACTATTAATTTATATTTAATTTGATTTTTCCCAAATTTTTTGTATCACGTGATCAAAAGGCACTTACGAAAAATTGGATAACAGGGAAGAGGAGGAATCTTACGAAGTCATAAACATCCACAAAATCAAATCCCACACGCCGAACTTACGCGTCGTCAATTTGTAAATTCCGCGAAGCATTTTTTTTTTTAAAAATTGTTATTTTCTAAATAGTTATAACTAGGAGGGGGGGGTACGAACCGCAACGGATATCGGTTTAAGTTGGGTCTATATAAAGATGACCGTTTTTTGAGCCAGTTCCGTTAGCGAGTAATAATATCGGTTTGATTTGATTTGTAAAAATGGCCATTGATACTGAATCTAAATCAAAATTACTTAATAATATTCTTTAGGATTTTTCAAAAGGTTAAAAGCCAGTTATGGAACTTTTTAAGGGTTCGGTTCAGGTTTGGGTGGCAAATTTTAGTTCAGGTTCCATTGATGATAAAGGAAGGTTTAGGGAAATGTTAATAAATTTGAAGTAAATCGAAAGCTAATGATATTATTAGGTAATACGTGATTGGTGGAATTTAAAACCCAGCTGGGGGGGGGGGGGAGTTGTGATAGAACAGAGAAGGAAGCATGGTGTGAATATATATAAAATTATGACTGAAATGCAATTAGAACGAAATTTTTCAACATTCATTTTTTTTTGGAAAAAAACTATTTGATTTGAAATTTCTTATAATTTAAAATTCTCTTCAAAGAAAGAAAAGAAAGAAAAGAAAGAAAGAACTGTCACATTTATTAAAAGATTAAAATTATAATTAACATACTATAATCTATATTATATATATATATATATAATTAGAAGAGAAAATTAAAACAACCATTTTAAAAAAAATTAAAATAAACAAGAATTTTTTTTTATAAAATAGTAACTTATAAATTAATTGTTTTCAAAAAAAAAAAAACTTACATATTTTTAAAATAAAATATAGATTATCAATAAAAAAACAACTGCAGGTTCGTTTTATAAAAGTGGGCATATAAAATAGTTGCTTATAGTTTTGTTAAATGACTCGATTTGAGCCAATATTTAAAAACGGTCAACTCAATATGTTATCATAAAAAATATATAAAATGAGCCTGAAGATTTTGCTAAATAAGATGGGCACAACAGTTTAGACATCTATCAACGAAATCTCGCGGTTTAGTTATTTTTGTTTTGGCTACAATATTGAGTTGATCGGTTTAATAATTTACGATTTACCCGACCCTTTAAATTTTTTTTTTCTACACAATTATATTTCCTTTTTTATACCTAACTGTAATATTTTTTCCTAAATTCTAACAAATAACTTTAGTTATGGGATCAAATTTCTGGAGGATATGCACGTGGAACTACTTTCTACGAATTGCGTTCACTTGGAATGCTTATGCCTAGACTTCTGCACCAAATTCAAGGGTTCTTCGTTGAAAATTTTGATTCAACGTTGCAAAAAACTCAAATGCCTACTGCTAGAAAAGACAGGTTTTTAAAAAAAAAACTACATCAACCACTCTTTCTATTGCGTTCCCTATTTTTATTGTATCTTACTACCGGTGACTAGGGTTAATGAATAAATACCCTCGTTTTGAACATCAGCTGATGGAAAAATTCCATTATATTTTTTTTTAAATTATACTGGTTTTTTTTAAATATCTAAATGAACCGTTTTTAACTAATTATTTTCTATCTAATTGTGCTTCCCAAGAAATATATCTATCTTATTTACTATGTTACGGTCCGGGTGAATCCCAAAGTAGGTCTTAATTTAAAAAGATCGGAAAAGACCGGGGTTTTGATTTTTAAAAGACCGGAAATAAATGCCAATCATATTTCTCATTCTGATGATTCGTATAATATTTATTCTCATCATTAAAAAAAGGGATAACCGATGAATATGTTCGGGCAGTCTCTTGGGAAAATACGGCGATACAGGAACTGGATATTTCCTTAACGGAAATTAGTGGCAAAACTGTCGCTCTCTTGCTCCTCAAATTAAAACATTTAAAATACTTTGCCGCTTCTAATATTCAAAGACTCAAGGATGACGTAACTGCTCATATAAATAATAATTTTTTTTAGCCCATCACTATTTTAAAGTTCGGTCCTGATTTTTTTCAAAATTTTGTGAGTGTGACACTATAGTAAATTAATTTTGTCCTTTTTTTAAAAAAAAAAGGCCATGGGGCCGTTAGTTGAGACGTTTGATTTCCAAAGAATTAAGACTCTCAATCTTTCCTGGTGTCAGAACCTGGGCGAGCCTTTACTCGTAAAATTAATCAAAAGATGTGGTCCCAATTTAACTGGCTTAGATCTTTCCGGAATGTATGATCTGTTGGAAGCCTTTTGGACTTCGGTATTGCCTTTGCTCAGAAATTGCAGGTCCGACTTTATTATCATTCATTTGAGTAATTAAATGTGAACGACAATTTAAGTAATATTCTCTACAAAAATTCCAAGAACTCGATCAAGATGTTAAATCACGTGGCACCTTTTTCTAATTTAATTCTTGTTTCATTGTGGGAACTATACTTATGGGTTTCATATTACAAAATAAAAATTAACTAAAAAAAAATTCACAAAAACTAAAATAACTCCTCTAAGAAAATAGCATTAAAATACACGAATTAATCGAATAGTAAAGCAAACTTAAATATTAATATAAGACCGGTCGGGACCGTAAAAAAGATCGATCTTGTTCAGGTCTAAGATCTATAAGACCAAACCGTCTAACTCCGTTAATGGCATCTACTGTGAATGCAGGATTAATCTCAGTCGAGTGATATAGTTATCACTCTAATAACTCCCGCTTTTATATTAACAATTATAAAGGATATTAATAATCGGAATTCCGAATGAGTGCTGTCAAAAGATCCATTCCAAGGTACATATCGATCAATATATAGAACTCATAGCCCAAAATTGTTCAGACATCGAGGAACTAGAAATACAATGGGATTCTGGTAATAATAATTAATAATATTCTATATAAATTCAATTTTTTTTTTTAAATCGTGAATCTTATTATTGCAAAAAAATAATAATAATAACGGATATAAATGTCCTGGACAAAAATATCCACATTTTTGTCAAAAAAATAAAATAAATTTAAACGTTTCAAAAAAGGTGTAAAATTGGGGTATTTTTGTCCGGGTATTTTTGTCCACACCCGCTATTACTATCACTTACCAAATCATAGCATTTTTTTAAAGGTTCTTTTTTTTCAATCACACTTTCTTACTTTTTATATTATTTATTATACGTTTTACTCCCCTAACTTCTAATCCTCGATATTTCCTGTCCAAATAAATCATTTTCCTTCTGTACTCTTCAAAGTCAAACCTTAAAAAAATGCGAACAGCAATATATACATATATTTACCCTACCCCTCTTTATTCCCAAAAATATATTTTAGTCCGGTTTATTTTTACTAAAGCATATATTGCTTCTTAAGCGGGTATGCATTTTCTATTGATATTATATTATATGTATATAGTTTATGTAATTTAAGGGAGATAAAATTGGGCTTTAAAAAAGTGAATGGTAATGGAAATATTACTTCATAACATAGTCAGCCATTTTTGAATATTTATTGTAGCACATTTGCAATGGACAGTGTCATTATTACAAATACTTTTGTCAATTGCCATTCTCATCTTAAAATCCCAATATGTTTTAGCTGCCTTAAAATTTAATAAATTATAAGATTTTTATAATTTGCAATTGTCGAAATTCAGATTTATTGTAATTGTAATAGGAAATATAGTTTATTAAATTTAAGGCAAATAAAAACATTTTGGGCTTTTAAAACCAGCCATCTTTGAATATTTATTGTACCACATTTTGCAATGGACTCTGTCATTATTGCAAATAATTCTTTATTTAAAATTCGAGGTTCAGGAAATATTATTCTGACGATATACTCTCCAGGGAAAACAGAATACGGAAAATTTTTTGGGGAAAAAAAATGTGACATTTATTATTACTTAAGTTCGTGATGAATTAATTATTTCAAGTAATACATTTAAAAAAAAAGATATAATGAGGTTTAGCGAAAAATCTAGCAAATTTATCGATCATCTCAGAACCAAATGCAGCAAACTGAAATCCTTCGTGTTGGCTGAAGGGGAATATTACGAAATGGTGAAATCCAACTTCGAAAGAGCCGACAGATACCACATAGTGAGTTCGAGAAGCAATTGCGTCACGAGCGTCTTACCGCTATTAACCCATTATAGAAAATTGTGTTTCACTTAATACAATTTTTTTTTATCCATTGCTGAAAATGTTTACTTGAGTTGAATTAGAAAAGTAACTTTTTTTTAAAATAAATGTTATTTCCCAAGTTGTATATGTATCTTATTTTTTTAAAAAAAATATGTATATTGTTTGATTTCGATTTAGCGAGAGTTGTAATTTTTTTTTTGATAATAAATTATGATTACGCGTAAATATATGTGTGAACAATATATGTCGTATTGGGATCACTGATGTATACATAAACTATTAGGATTGGCGATTCATTTATTAAATGAGGTTAATAGTGTCCATGCATAGGAAGTCAGCTGTAGCGCCATTTTTTGTGGTTTGCACCTCGATTAAATGAATGAATGACTTTAATGTGCATTCATATAATGATAAAATAAATACAATTAGTCGACGTGCAAAACCACAAAATCGCGCTACAGCTGATCTATGCATGGATACTTTTGGTAAACAAATCTCCAATCTAGTAGTATATATACATCTATGATGGGATATGGACATTGGTGATTCGGAAGCTGAAGGCCATTTTTAAATTATAAGAATCTAACCGGAAATGTATTTCAAAATATAGTTATATAGTGTAAATGTATTTCGACATGTATCGAGTACAACAACCGTAAATTTCGAACAACTCCTTTATTTATATTGATTTATCAATATGAATTTTTTATATATAAATTAAATAGAGGTCTAGGGAGAAATTTGTTCAAAATTTATACGAAAGTTCTCTACACATGGTGGAATAAAATTTCCGATTAAATCGAAAATATCATCTGGTTGAATGATTTAAAATCGAGGGATTCCTTATTCCCCATGTATTCCATATCCCAATACAGCAAATATATATGAATTTGAAAAATAATTTTATCATTTAAACTTACTTCAAATATATAAAAGTACGACCCAGTCATTATTTTATGTTACTCGCTCATAGTAAATCGGCGGACCGGTTTTTAAGTTATAAAAATTTAAAAACCGATTCCGGACTATCCGGTTCGGTCTTTGTATACCTTCGCAAACTTTATTATAATATTTTATTTCCTCTAGACAAATTTTTTCCACTTGGATAAGGTCAAAAATGCCGATTGTAAAGCTTGTTTTTGAAAAAATTATTATGGTCCTGTCTTCAGTCCATCCAATCTTGACCGGGTGTAAGCTTTAAAACTTGTTTAGAACCAAACTTTGAAAAACATATTTTCTTCAGATTCCGGTTTCGGTTCCTTTTATAAAAAAGGGATTCGGTTTTCGGTTCTTAATTTTGTTCTATTTCCGGTTTTCAAGCTCTTATTAATAACAATAGAAAAAATAATTCTACGGCAAAAAAACCAGAAATCGGGTAATAATTTTAAGCGATCAAAAAAATATTTTGCATATGTTTACCGCTCCGAATATAATTAGCTAGGCGCATGAGGTCGCGCGGATCTCTAAAATAAACCTTCCGAAAAACGTCAAACTTTCTCGAACATTATTACAAAAACGGTAGCATTTTTTGTTAAAACCGGTTTCTGGATAAAATCGTTTTTAAGGATCGGTCCGTTCGTAGGTCTTAACCATACCGCTATCTTGCGCTATATTGAATTAGAGCTTTGATGATAAATCAGCTGATCATAAAAAAAAAAATTTTTTACGATTAAGATAATGTTTTTTTTTCCAAACTAAACACAAAAAGTTGAATTTATTTATTTGAATTAATCCGCGATATTATATTTTTATAAAAATATTATTACAAAAATTTAGAATAATGAAATCAAAATTAATATTATCTAACATACATTAAATAAGGTAGTTTGTTAAAACGAGTCAAACCACGTGACTCGCAGGATAAAATGAAGAATGTTTTTAAAGTGTATAAAACGAGTAAATAATATTTATTTATACAGATTGATTTTCGCAGATATAGTCTCTCGAATTATTATAAGGTTTTTTCCACTCTTCGATCGATTACGTATATAAAATTTTTGTTTAAAAAAAATTAGAGGGTGTGGGGTTGAATGGAATGGGGATAAGAGGACCCCTAATATAATTTCTTTTATATAATCAAACGTAATTGAGTTAGAACTTTATAGTAATCACACGATATTAGGCTAGTTAAATAATATAAGGGTAAATTAATAAATATAAATATGATAAATGAAAGTTCTAAGAAGAAAAAAAAATTTGACCAAAATTATAAAGGATTGATTGAGCTAAGGGAAAATGTAGTTAGAATGAGGGGATTCTCAGATCAAAATTACAATGATAGATTTTTTTAGAACCCTTTACACAAACAAAGCCAAAGAGACCAAAAAATTTATATTAGTTTTTTTGCCATAAAAGAACCGAAAATATACAAAGGGGATAAATTTTCTATTTAATAAATGAAAAAATACATTAAATCTATACTTCTTTAGATACAAAACAAATAAAAAAAATTAAGTAAATTTGAACCTCGGGCAACCCTTAATATTATTTAATTTACCCAAAGCCTGGATAAGGGGCAACAAAAAAAAATTATGCGCATGTATAATACTCATAATTGTAAAAAAAAACAATTGTTCTAACTACTCCACGATTATAGGCTTACTATCTCCCCCCTTGCTTATCGGTGAAGAAATTTCTGAGCACGACAATCTGACCAACACCTATGATGAGTATAGCTAGTGTTTCGGAAAGGGATAATACGGTGACCCGATTGTTGAGTTCTTCGCCGAATATCCGGCCCGATGCTTCGCTCAGTTTGTAATGTGTTTGATGTTCGGTTATCTCGTTGAGGTTATCGTGGATTGTCTCGGAAGCGGATTCCATCTTAAAAAATATTAAGCGCGAAATATGTTTATTTAAGCTACATGTTATATCTGGAGCCATAGGGCATGGCTATAAAAATCTTTACCGATTCTGATAAGATACTTTCAAGCCATGGCCTAATAACTTTTTTATTAGCTGCAGGTCAAAAATTACTGAAGTTGTTAAATATTAATACTATCTAGCCAATTATAAAAAGACGCAATAACCTATTCTCCAAAACACCCCCGCCCCTCTCCCTTAAATGATGAATCTATGTAAGTAAGAGGACAGCTGGGGGAGGTGGGTTGGTCAAATAAAAACAATTCCTCGGATTGAGCCAGACCTTAAGCAATAGATCCAATTTTTATTTAAAAGTAAAATAAGCACGAAATTTTAAATATTTTCTTTCCCCATTAAAAAAATATATATATTTTATATATATATACAAACAAATGATATGAATAAATTAATAATATTTAAAAATTATATAGCCACCAGGAAAATAATAATAAAAATAAGATCTGCTTCGTTTTTAATATATTTTTTTTAAGTTTTAGATTTGATACCTTATCAACGCGTATAAGGTAGTAAATTAAACAATTCCTTTATCTCACTCTACTAATCTCCACCCCTCTCATTCGCTAAGCGTGACTGGGAAAAATTGAAAACAAAAGCGAGCATGCGTAGCTCATCCATTTGTGTTTTTGTATTTGAAGGCTAAAAATAACGCTTTTGTTTTCAAATCAATTTAGTCGCCTCGAGCATTGGATTAGAAATGAGATTAGTTTGAAATAAAAAGACAATTAAAATGTCGCCCTTTTCTAATGATAAATTTTAAGGGGTAAGGGGGGGGGGATATCCTTACTGATATTGACATTAATTCCATCTCAAAATCAAGAGTGGATTTAGAATTCCGTATTTATCGGTCGGCTTAAATCCGATACCCTGGAGCGTTCGAGCGTGCGCGTAAATATAAGGGCGTACCATGGTAAGCGGATGGTTCACTGGCCCGGGGTGTTTTCCGCCGAAGGTTTCTTCCTCCCCGCTGACCCAATCGAAGTAAATTATTTTGTGGGAGAAGGAAGAGAATTCGTTGTTGAAGCAGGCCGAGTACTCGCCAGAAATGTTGGAGATCCATTTGAAGGATTCGAATTGTTTTTGGCGAAGGGAAAATAAGACCAACTCTTTGCCACGTTCTCCGGGGCCGTTGATGGTCAGGTCCACGTCATAATTGCCGCCAGAAATAACCTAGGAGGTTTAACGTTCAATTAAAACAATATATAAATGATTAGAAGAGTATCGTAAAAAAAATGAAAAGGGGGGCAGGTATGGCCCTTTTTTAAAATATTCAAAAAAAAAAGGTTATCATGTGGGGAAAAAAATATTGCTTTAATTATTACGTATAGTGAAAGCTTGTTTATTTTGGGGTATTTATAATTAGGGCAACTCCCTAATTTGGCCAAAATTTTTAGTACCAAAAATTGTGCGACTGTCTAATTTAAGAAAAAATATTTGGCCCCTAAGGTCCCGTTATTAAGCAAGTTTTAATGTGTATAATATTTAATTTTAAAAAAAAGGTAAATATACATTAATTTTTGTGTAAGTCGCAATTTCAAAATAATTACACATATTATTTTTTTTTTTTAACCAGTGCAAAAATCGTTTCCAAAAATAATCTTTTATTAGTAAATCTTTTTGTAATTTTCATGCAAAAAAAAATCTTTCAAAATGGAATCAAAAAAAAAAGTAAAGATTTTTGATCATAGCGAATTTTTCTTTATAGCAATAAAAATATAAAATAAGCAGCCAAATCCCAAACTACACCTTGAGAAAATGTTTAAAAATGGAAAGACAGTAGCAGAGATAAGGCGATTTGTATCGGTCGTTACTTCTAAATATTTAACCAATATTTATTGACACTACTCGGGTTTTTTTGGGTATAATGGCTAAAAAATCGTCTTAATTTATGGAGGCGCGTGCTGAAGAAAATTTTATTAGACATTGTTACACAAGTTAAGTTATTTTTGCTTTCTTCGAAGTTGTGTTAAATATATTTATTTTTTTTAAAAAAAAAAACTCGAAGCTGCAGTGATAGTTTTAAAAATTTTTATTAGCCGCTTTTTAGTCAACTAAAAAATTGAATATTTAACCAACTATACTATTGATATTGATCAATACATTATTATATTACAGTAAAACTTATCAAAATTGTGCTCTTGATAATTCGGGAAACTTCATAATACGACCAAAATCTGGGTCTCAACTCAACTTTGATTAAGACAGGTTTTAGTGTATATTAATATTTAATTTTCAAATATCATAATAGAAAATAATATAAACATTGATAGTACCAGGTTCAGGCAGGGGTACAAAATAAATAATTTAACAGTTTTTAGATTTAATCTATTAATTATTTATGAATAAAATATAAATACAAAGCATGTTTCTAACATAAGCCTGAATTAAAGGATATCCAATGGAAACTGCATTTACAAATATTTTGTTAGTGTATGTTATGTTGTTCATGTGCCTCTTAGGACAAGAGTATAGGAATGGTGGGAATGATTTAAAAACCTTGCCCTTTAAGGAACTCGTAAATGGAAATGTAGGATATTATTGAAATAAAACATACATATTCAAATGATACTAAATAGAAGACCCCCAACCTAATATCATTTTTTTTTCAAATAGAAAAAAAAATGAAGCTAAAAAGTAATTAATGAATAAAATGGAGATCTCTTCACTTACATTGATTAAACTGCCATTTGTGATGTGTAAACTTTCATCAGTAGGATTTTGTCTTAAACTGATACTTGGTCAAATAGTCTGAAATGACACTTTAGGGATCTACAAAAAAAGGTCCAAAACAATTGATAATTGATTTAAATTACTATTTTTTAAATAATGTCTAGCCACAACCTAATTTGAAAAGATATTTAAAATACATTATAAATTTCTTGGTTAGGTTGGGCCTTATTCAGGACAGGTTGGTCAGCCCAACCCATAAATTTATTTGCTGGCTTGTAAATTTGGTTAACCTACCTCTAATATAAATTTGTATGTCAATATCTGACCCAGTCTATAATATTAATTTGTATGTCAATATCTGACCCAGTCTATAATATTCTTTATGAAATGTAAGGAGATAATTTAGTCAAATTCTAAATTTTGTTCTTCAGGCCTAGTATATAATACATATATAAGTTGTCTGGCCCAAAAACCTTTTCCAGGCCCATAATTTTAGACTAAACCAAACTCCACTTTGCAGATCACTAGTCAATTTATTAATATTATATTCATTATTTAAATCTTGTTTCTTTACCAGTTTTGGAAATTGCTACATTTTACATAATGCTTGACTTAAAATAATACACAAGTATGTTTATACCAAACAACCATCCCTTATATTATTTTTAACCTGCTATTGCAAACTATTTGGCTTAGAGCAATATAATTATCAATATTGTTATTACTTTTTATTGTTTATTGAAACTCTGATTTACCCAAATCTAATTTAACCAATTAAATATTTTTTGACCACCATATATGTAACTCTCTATTATTTAAAATAGGCTAACATTGCCAGTATTAATAGATAAATAAGTAATATTTAGATTATTAAAAAAAACACAAATGCAGTTAACAGTTACAATACATTTATATATATATATATATGATGGCTAAAGCGATATTAAATTACCTGATTAAAAATGCTTATATTACAAATTAAAACTTTCCATGCATAAATATCTTGGAATATTGATAAGAGAATAAAACCTGTATAAAAAAATTATAATAAGGAGGCATTAGAATTATATATTTGCTTAAGATCAGTTGAGCAAATTAGAAACTGATTTAAAACATTGTAAATTACATTTGCAGATACTAATCTCACCTTAAAATATTTTTATATAACTTATTATAATATTTTATTAAAAACTTTAAATTAGGTTAAAAATATATATATTCATATAACATAGAATAACACATTAATGGCTATTAACTAAATTTTAAGAAAAAGTAAAAGAAATATAAATTTTATTAAAGTAAGAATTTTAAAAATTCTTATAAAATCAATTAATGATAATAATTATAAAATTTCTACTTGAAATTCAAATTTTGATTCAGTTCCTTTGTCAATAAGCCTGAAATAGCAGTTTTTTTTATTATCGGGCAATTCGAACGTGAATTCGTAAGCATTAATAAGATATAATTGTAAACATGATATAAATAATGATAGCAGGGTCCACATGAGGTTAGAAAACGTTTACAGTGACATTTAAATTCCGAAGGAATGTCATTTAATTAAATATTAAATTCGTAAGCGGAATTAATTATATTAAACATATTTATTTAACTAGTTTGAAAATTCATAATTACGACTATTGACCTAAATTATATTTAAATTAAAAGTTTAATTAAAATAAATATTAAAATTTAAATTCTTTGATGAACCAAAATTGGTATACAAATACTTCTCAATTTTATTTGAAAATACATGGTTTTCTTAATAGGCAATTTTATGTAATTACTTTTTAAAAAATATTTAAAAAGGGTAATTAATTTTTAAATTAACAGATGGCCTCAAAACGGACATAATTAAGTGCTCTGCAGATGGTACTAGTGTTGTTAAAATGCCAAATTTGGATGAATTTTTTAAAATGGCTCGATTAAAATTTAAACCTATATTATGTAAATATCAAGATTTGATAAATAGATGTGATATCCAAGCCTTCATGCTATCTATAAGTTAAATCTTATTATTTTGGTTATAATCTTTCGGGTCATTTAAAATCGATACGGATTGGGCCTAATAACACTAGATGGCACTGAGGTTGCCCATACCGGTACGGTTTTTGATTTTTTTAATACAAGTCCTATATAAGTTGTTTAACAACAAAATAAATAACTATTTATAATTGAGTCGTTAAATTAAAACATACTTTTTGGATTATCCCTTCAATGAAATATCAGAATACAATAAATATATTAAAAAACATAATTTTGCCTCGTCTGGCCCCAAATTTTTTTCAAGTGTTGTCCATAGGGTTGGGTTTACAGAACAGAAGATAATTATATCTAAAAATAATAATATAATAATCATCAAATTTCATTTTAAATTTATTCTATTAAGTTTTTTGTTTATAAGAAGCAATAGAAAAAATTATATAAATATATTTTTAAAAAATTTTAGAAATAAAGGTCATTAGTTCACGGTCAAAATTATGTATATTTATAATATTAAAAGACAGAGTCGAGTTTTTACAACCAAAATATTTTCTCAGTGTTGTTAAAAAGCCCGATTTATATCAATTTTTTAAAATGGCCCGATTTAGATTTTACTTAAAATAATATTATGTATGCATTGAGGTTTGGCAAGTAGATGTCCAATTATTTCTGTCAGCTATGAGCTAAAATCTTTAGGCTTACATAATGTTATTTTGGTTTGATCTTAATCAAGCCGTTTTTTAAAATCGACCTGAATCGGGCTTTCCTACGATTATTTTAATACTAGTTAATAAAAATAACATTCGTTTTCCTACATCTATAAGGGCAACATAATTACTACAAAATTTACAAAAATTCTTTTAAAAAAATAATATCTATTAAAAAGTTTTTTAAAAAAAAATTCCAGAAATATTATATAATACAATAAAATAAAAAACGTATAAATAAATATACAATGGATTAAACTCCCCCTAACGGTTATAATATTTACATTTCTTCGGAGATATTTTTAAAATATAATATGCTAAGGTGCTTTAATATATTTTAATGAATGTAGCAATGGCGTAGCCATAATTTTTTTATGGGGAGGGGGTGGGAACAAACCTCTGCTCATTGTTTTTTAGCCATGATAACTGGAATGCAAAATATTTCATATTTTAGGACACTAGATATTTATAACCATTCCCACAGGCTCCCAACGATTTTCAATAACATTCATTTTTCATTGTCATCATGGAAATTATGTTATACATAGTTTGCAACATCATTTTGACAAAGATTGTCTATAATTTTTTTAAATTAAAGTTTATAACTTTCCTAATATGAACAGTTGTATTTAAAATTATCATATAGCACTAATCAAAAAGACCTCAAATATATTATGAGTTTGTTTAAAAAAACTGATTAACAATCAGGCTTGCCAGGTCGTATACTAATAAATCTGCAGGGCAGGATAAATTTAATTCTAAGGGAAAAATATAAAGATCGCGAAAAATAAAATAAAAATATCTTCAAATAAGTATAAAAGTATCAAAATAAAAATCCATTTCATCATGAAGATGATGAGCTTCATCTATAGTGTTGTTAAACGGCTCTATATTTAAAAACGGCTAATCCAATATTTTACCCAAAAAAATTACTCAAGCATCGAGATTTCGTTAATAGATGTCCTAACCTTTCTGTCATGTATTAGCAAAATCTCTAGGCTTGCATATTTGGCTAGAAATATAGGGTTAGCCGTTTTTGACAACACTAGTAGGTATGTTTGGTGATTGAACTGGATAATATAAAAATATTTTCTTACTAGGAGAACGAAATATATTATTTATATATCTATACCTTTATCAAGAAGATTCTCCAATATTGTAATAAGGTATAGTTGTTGTGTCTGTGCTTGACATTTGTTGAAATAGGAATAAATTAATGATTGTTTTTTTTATATTGACAAATATATATAAATTGGAATATGACAAACTAGGCAAGTTTTATACAATGCAAAATAATTTAAAATTTATTTCTTAAAAAAATAATATAATTATCAGATTCTTCAGATCAATCATTATTTATAATAAATTAAAAACAAAAAAATAATTGTTTTTTTTTAATTTCAAGCATTTATTAACAATTTAGTAGATGGTCAAACTCCCAAACATCTCCTCCTCTCCCCACACCCTACGCCACTGGCTGGATTCTTAATTAGAGATTCTTATTAAAAAATAGTATGTTTACTTAACTTTCAAACAAATCAGCATTTTTATTAATTAAGTAATAAAAGAAATTAATGCATAAATACCAGTATACGAATGTGCATAATTTTTAGGTTTATTTAAAATGCTTTTTAAAAAAATATTTATATATTATAGACCTGTACGCTGACAGCGTTATCGGCAGCGGAGTTCAGCGTCTACATGAGCGGGAGGGGTAGGAACAGTTTGCATCCTATTTTTTGAGGGGGTAGGCTGCTTTAATGGGAGTAGGATAAATTTTTTGAGATGAAATAGGACAAAATTTATTGCTATAAAAATTAATACTTTTATTATAGAAATATTAAAATACAATTATCAACCAAATCTATACATTGCAAACAATCATACACATTGTTTTCCATATAAAACTTTCTGCTATCCTTTTTAATTTAAAAGGTTTAGATATATCAGCAAGCTCATAATGCCATAATAATTAATTCATTGTAAATAATGGATGTTTTAATTGAATTTATTATCTAAAAAATAAATTCTTTATATTCGCAAAATATCGATAGTTGGTAGTAGAGATAGATTATAAATTACTCTGAAAAGAGTATTAATTTATAAATTCTCTGAAAAGAGTATAAATAAAATTATAAAGGTGAAAATAATAATAGGGGGGTAGGCAAAGGTTTTTGAAGGGGTTTTGCATCCAGTGAAAATCCTGTCATGTAGACGCTGGCGGAGTTTCTTTTTTTCTAAACAATAGGCTGACGGCGGCAAATCGATTTAGATGCCGCCACAAATTTGGCTGCGGTACGGGGGCGTCAAATATTTTTCTAACTTAAATTTCTTAATTAAAATTATAAATTCATTGGAAACACTTTTAAAATAAAATTATGCTTTATAATGTTTATAACTATAATTTAATTGATTTTATTAAGTAATAATTATCACGTATAAATATTATTTTATTTAGATTTATAGGACATAATGATGATCTTTTAGAGTTTAGAGTGAGCCCAGCTATGGAAAATACACGCTAGCTGGGTGTGCTCGTAGCTGGAACGCACATGACCTTTCTAGCTATATTGAAAGTTTAGGAAAATCTTATTATCTTCCATAAATCGAAGACATTTTTATCTCTAAATTAAAAAAAGAAAGAAAGAAGGTGAAAATAAGGAATTAAGCTCTTTTTCTCGATTAGTTAAATAGTCCTAGTTGCTCAAGATTATCATTATGAATAGATGAATATTTGGTAGCCAATGACCTAAGATAATTTACAATATAGTATATACTATATTGTAAACGAAATAGTTTTCCTATATGTTTTTTTGTATAATTTATACTTTAAAAAATTATTAATTAAATATTGATAATTTTTCTTTTTTAATACAAATGATTGGAGTCAATTAAATTTGGGCAATCATTTATTATTAATGGAATATATTTTGAAAAAAAAAATATATCAGCCCCGACCAATTAATAATGCATTTAATTATTTAAAAAACCTTAAATTTTGAGATATAAATTAGAGATCTGCAAAGGTAGGCTCGACCCGAACCATTGTCAAAGGCGGGGACATCTCCAGTACCGGTGTCCCTGGAATTGGGAAAGGAGGGAAAGCAACGTGCGAACGGAGCCAATACGATATATAGGAAGAACAGCAGAGTCCCAGTCCCGGCCAGTAGCAAAAATCCCTGGAACAAGGAGAAGAGTAGAATGTGAGGAGGAACAGGAACACAGTCAAAGGGTGGCGGGTGGAGAACAACAATTCTGGCCTGTCGAAGATCTGATGGAAATAGATGAAGCACCAAGCGGAGTGGCAGCGGGGAATATTATGACAATATGGGAGCTATCGTTACTCGTTACTTCTAGAAGAAGGTAACGAATGGTTTTCTAGTGGTTCAACGGCTCGATTTGGGCTGATTTTTATGGCCAGTCCACGGTCGACTTGTTATTTAAATATTTTTTATAATGTCATTAAAGCGGAGTGGCAGCGGGGAATATTCTGACGATATGGAAGCGAGAAACAGGAAGCAGCGGATGTGGGTGAAAATCAACGATTGAGGGAAACTGAGGAGTTGTGGGAGCTCGAGGCCGCTCTCGGTAATGTGGGGAGTTTAGAAGGAGACTTGGGAAGTTGGTGGGATGTAATGATCAATGATTCTGAGATATGAAGCATCTGATAGGAGGATGCGAAAAGACGGTGGGGAAATTGAAGAATTATAGGTAGCTATCAAGGGATTTATTTACGGTGGGAGCGTGTCGAAGGATTCGTTATTTATATATTGCGGAATTTTAGTTGAGTAATGATTATTAAATAAATGATCGCGAGTTTTAGTTATTTTATAAATAAATGTTATAAATTATTGATTATTTTTAATGGGTGATAAAAGCTTTGAAGTTATTGTTTTAATTAATTAATTTTTATTATTTTTCATTTTGTAAAAATTGCGGAGAATAAAAAATAAAGGTAATCGTGAAAATAAACTAATAATTATATATATATTAAAATTAATATTGGTAACATTGAAATTAATACATATTCTTAATCGGGCCGTTTTTTAAAATCATCCCGAATCGGGCTTTTAAATAATACTAATTGATTGTCAGTTATCTTTTCGAATTTGAATAAGAAACCCTGCTGTGGCTTTGTTAAATTTAAAAAAATTATTATATTTTTTTATTTAAACATTTAAGATCGGACCCATAAACAAATGAGACATTTTTTGAAAATTAATTGGGCTAATAATTATCGGATTTTTGACCTTGATTCCGTTTGACATTATATTATTGTCAGTAAATAAGCTAAAAGGCTCCAGACTATAAGATATTGAAGAATTTAGTGCCAAGATTGGCTTTTGATATAATGTTACCTCCTAAATAGACACCCTTTTAGGTATGCTAGATTCACATCCCAATTGCAGTTTATTAGAAAGCCGTAGATTATTAGCGAAATAGATCACACAATTTTGTGGATTAGAATCTTTCAAAAAATAAATGACGTGTATTAATTTCTATTTGTTTATTGAAATAACATTACTTATAAAAAAATATCCTAATATATTTATACAAGTCTAGATAAGATTAGGAATTATTATGACATAGAAATCTGATCGGGAAGCAAAATTATTTTCAAAAAATTAGTTGATTCTTAAAACGTTGATAATTGAATACCATCAATCATGCTTCTCTAAATATAACACCACTTTCATCATTTGCACCAATTAAAGATGCATCTTCTTTATTTTATCCCGTGCAAATTTTTAAAAAAAGTGCTAAATTTAAAAGAATATAATGTTAGAAACATATAGGAATATAATTAAATTATAATCCCGATTATAAATAAATATCGAATTACAATCGATAAGTATATCAATAATAAAATTTAAAAAGAAATCTTAATTTGTATTTTCAAAATATAATTTGTATATTTAAAATTGGGTCATTTTTTCTAATCAATAATTATTATAAATTTATTTATATTTTATATGCTCAAAAATTTAAATATTTTTTTCCAGCGCAATTTTATGATTTAAAACTTTTAACCCGATTTCAAATACCGATAATTAAGTATTCGAAATGATTCTTTTAAATAACTATAATTCATTATCAAATTTTAATGTTCATCTTAGGATATTTTAAAAATAATTATCCACATCCTGAAAAAATTTCTGGCTATTTGCCTGCAGTAGAAACGCTGTTTTACTTCGATAAAGTCAAGATTAAATTCAAATGGATAAAAAAAATTTAATTAGTTTGTAAACCCTTTTCTTCCTTCTCCATCCATCAGATTCTTATCTATCATTTCATCATCTAATATGACATATATTTTTTCATCATTATTATTACTTGACAAATCTGTCAATCCTGACAGGTGATATGATAGGTTTTTAATTATTTCTAGCAAAACTAGTACGTTTTATGGAATATGAAGAAGATAATTTAAGTAAACTGAACGAAAAATACTATACAAAAATCATCGATAAAGGTAACTAATTTTTATAAATATATATATATATTTATTTAAGATTTCATTGGTAATGATATATGCCTGTTAAAGTTTTCAAATAAGTTTGATTATATATATTATTTGTTATTTATAACTTATTATAATAGAATAATTGTTATCACATTAGCACCATCTCATCCTCTAATAATAAGTGATTCCAAAATTAAAAATATAGATTTTCAAATTTCAAAGAAAGTTAATAGGCTTAAAAACAAGGTTTCTGGAAAAGGCAAAAAAGTTTATTTAAATGCATGTTAATTATATAAAAGTATATATTAAGGGTGCACAAGTGATAAAATTAAATTCATTACTATGCACAATTGAAACAGAAGAAAATATTTATAAGATATACCCTGCATGTGAAGGTAAATTGATTGAAATTAATGAAAACCTTATTACTAACCCTGATTTATTATTGCAAAAAGTAATTATATAATTTAATAATTATTTATGTCTATAAAGCCTGACAAAGAAGGGTATATTGCAATTATATTGCCAAAACTGGAATAAATTAATGAAATTTGAAAATCATGAAACAAAATTATTAAAAAAATAAGCTTTTAACAAAATATTTTTAATGTATAGTGTTTTTATATGTTTACAAATGTATGTGAAATATCTCCATTTATTAATTACATGTTACCACTAAATGATCTTTTCATTATCAAAATATAAATAAATATATTGAATATAAATGTTAAATATAGGAATTAGTTATAATAATAATTTATATCTTATAAATTAAATTTTTTCCAAATATGGCTTATAATAATTATTATATTTATGTTGATTAGATTAAAAAAAATTTTTTTTAGCTTAAGTTAATACAATATATATTATTAATCTTCAATCTTCTGATCTGCAAACATTTTATTCACTATAAAATGATAGTAAAATGTAACACACTGAGCATAATTTAACAAAGAAATCCTTTCATTGATGCCATGGACTCTATTTAGGTCACTTGATAACATTTTAACTGGTGAAAATCTGTACAAATCATCAGCCAAATCCTTAAAATGTTTAGAATCAGTACTGGCTGGGAATATTACTTTATTTTAATATGTAAAAATAATATTTTAAAAAATATATTATTTCATGCAAGTATCAATGTCATATAATTATACATAGACTTACGATGAATTCATTACAAGTATACATCAATGAAAAACAACTGAGAACGCCATATTAGTTATACATAGTATATAAAAAAAAATAATCAGAGTTGTGTATTTTACAATTGACTGATATTTGATCAGAAATTCAAATAAATGTTTTTAAAATGATATTAACTTAATTTTGTAATAAATTTTTTTATGCAGATTTTTTAGAGTATTTGACTCTACTCCTATCAATTGACCGACTTGACAACCATGAAAATAATATATTTCAAGGCTATTCTTATAAGAAAATATGTATTTATCAAACCAAATTCAAATAAATTAAAGTATTCTGGATCCTAAATAGTTTACCAAGATGGAGTGTCACGTGGTTCACATGATGACGCTTTAAAATGCGTTATTATGAATGAATCATCAGTTTAGGTATTATTATATGCCATTGGCAAGTAACTGAACAATTATTTGGCTCAAGAGTGATATGAAATTTTACCCTTATAAAAATAATCCTATTTTTTCTCCTCAAGGAAAAATGTAAGAAATAAAATAAGGAAAGTTGTAAAATTGTCGTGTTATTTACTGGGTAAGACCAAGGTCTCAGAGCCAAATATCTGTTTAATCATAGTGGCTAGGGACTCGAAATAGCGTGAATGAATGCTGGAGACGGGCACGGTAGGACCAGCGCAAGTTAAATGGCTTTTGACTCTGGTATCGTTAATGGCGTTGGCGTTAATTTGAGCTACCTTTTTAATTGCCGATTTAAAAATAAATAAATATGGTTATCTGTCTAAATTTTATATAAAAAAACACTAATTATTTTATTTTAGTTGGGGGGGGGGTGTTCAAATTATCGGATCATTATAGCAGAGGAAGGCCTTTTCAATGATAATAATGTGTTAGGAGTAAGTAGTGTTGTTAAACGGCTAACTCAATATTTTAGCAGGAAAAGTATCGCCTAAGCCTCGAGATTTCGATAATATATGTTGAGATCTTTGTTCCTTCTATGAGCAAAATCTTCGGGCTTGAGTAATATTTTTCTGGATGAAATATTGAGTTAGCCTAAATAAATATATTCTTTTTTTAAAAAAGGGCGTCTGACTCTATAAAGCAGTTTTAATTTATTAAATACAAATATTGCGGAGGAAAAATGGGAGTTTAAAAAAAAATGTTTTAATTGGGATATATCAATGGGGAATTCGGAATCTCAATTTTAAATCTGAAAAATCTTTGGTCCGACTCATTTGAGTAGTGAATTGTCAAAAACTGGACTAAACTTAAGACGGCTTTTAAATTGTAGGTCGGGGTTTCAGTTTCATCTTTGACATACCTACTAAAATATGCATCGATAATTTGCATTATTCCTATTCGATTCGAATAATAAAAACATTATTCGATTTGTTTCGTCTAATATTCGATTAGAAAATTAAATTCTCTTAAAAATATTTTCAAAAATGGGAAAAAAAAATCCATTTTGAATGAATCTTTGAATTATTTAAAATATTTATGATTTCATTTTGAAAGATTTCTTGTGCATGAAAATTATAAAAGGTTTTTTTGTACTATTTGGAATTTTAGGTAAAATTTGATCAAACATCTTTCTTTAAAAAAATATACAAAGATATTTTCTAAAAAAAATTTTTTTTTATCAAACTCTGGAAAAATTAGTTTATTAAATTTTTAAAGGTGATTTATAGATGTAGAAATAAAAAGTTCTGTAAAGGAACATGTTAAATACTTATAAATAATTTTAAATATTTATGAATAAGTAAAGTTATTCGAATTAGTTATTAGTTTCCGATTCAAATCTAATTTTTTTAACTCGTATTCGTAAAATCGAATCAAATAACGAATAATAAAAAATTTCTAACCGGAATAAACCATTATGAACCTTTATAATTAGCTGAACCGAACCTTTGTAAATTTTTTCTTACGTAACCATTATAATTTTTTACATACTGAACCGTTATAAATAACGGTTAGGGTCCCTGATTTTAGGTATAAACATTACTTATGAGCATAGACAAGGGGTAGGTGAAACTATAAGTCTATTACTTGTTCGAGGGTTTGAGAGGGATGAATTCTTTGGTTCAAGACAGCGTGAGCATGATTGGGCACGACGTTATCCTTGATTCCACTTTGAAATATGGTAACACAACTGGTTGTTCGTTGACAAGAGTTAAGCATAGAGTTGCGAGCAAATATCCTAAAATAAATTAATGGTTTTTTTGTAAATCTGTATACAGATACATTTAAAATGTACCTTTAAAACTTGTAAAATATAGTTTTAAATTAATTTAGCAGGTATGAGGAAATGATTACTCGTAAGGTTTATTGATACTATAAAAGGTGAATCATAATAGGATATATATATAGGTTTTCAAAACTAAAGTCTAAAAATTCCGTGTTTCCTACTAGATCCCCAGAGGTAAATAATTAAATGCTTGAGTGACATGAACATCTACAGATTTTATAATGATTGATAACCAATAGTATCCTTAAAAAAATATTTTTTTCACAGTTATTAACCCCTAATTCGTTGGCGTAGCCAAGGAAGAGTAGAAACTTATCAATTTAACATTTTGTCACCATTTTGTTGGGTTTATATTACTATTCCCATTCCTTCGAAAAAAAAATTAAATATTTAGCTAAATTTTTATTCATAGGACATAAATGTATCTGAAGGTCAATTAATTTCAGAATTTAAAAGGTATGAATGAAAGATCCAGTCTTGCAGATAATCCTCCAAGAAATAAAAATGGAAGCATTGCATACTCTAAAATATATTTTATTTCCAAATTATTAAAATTATTGTATATTTTGACAATGATTACCAATTAGTAAAAGCACGAATGAGAGGACCTTTTCTTTCATTACAGAAAATAAAAACCTATATCAAAATTAAGATATCTTAAAAAATGATAGAATAAATTAGCTTTACTCATCGAGATCTAATTCCCCAAAAACAGAAGATATTTTTATTAAACTTTTTTAAATAATTATAAAATGTTTAATTTTTATATTTATTTTGATTTACAAACCGGTTTATATAGCTATAATATTCTTTTTATCCATATTATATTCGCTCTCAATATTTTGAATTTTCATATTATTAAGTGTTCGAAATTATCATATTTTCAAATATGATTAGTTCTAATATATATTGTCTGATAATTAGTTCTAATAAATTTTTATCGCTCCAAAAAAAATCATTTCAATATAAATAAAATTATACCCTCTTCCCCCTTCGTAGGAAATTCCCGGCTACGCGCCAGAAGTGTGGCTTATATGTTACGAAATTATCCGAATATTATGATGGTACTCATAAAAGTATAATACCACCCTCTCTCTCGGCACACCAGTAGACAATAATTTTTGAGTTTAAATGAGGATAACTCCTCGATGATGAGAATATTTTATTAAAAAAACAAACAATAATAATTTTAATAATCATTTAATTATATATCATATATATATATAAATATTAAACTGAATAATAAAAAATGTATCGTAATTGTATGGGTATCTAGATACTTTTTCGCTCATACCTGTATCTAATACAATTTAAAGGTATCTTTTAATGATTTCCGATGTTCTGTAACTATATCCAAGGGGCCTTCTATTTTTTTCTGCACTTTAAAATTTCTAACATTTAAAAAAAATTAGCATACCTATAAAATATAGAATCTCTCCTACAGCGATAACCTAATACTATTTCAAAGATCAATGTCTGACATAAAACCGATTGCTTTAAACAAGGGGGGGGGGGGTTGGAGATTCTGTCTACATGCATTCATTTATTATTTTTAAAAATATACAAATATTTTTTACCATTTGCAAACGAATCCCCTAAACAAATCGGGATGAGAGAAAACGACCCTTTGCCACATAGATTTCATGTATGGTGCTATTGTTAGGGAGATAAAGCTGAACACATCCACGTTGTCTCGAGACAAAACTTTGGTTCCGATCGGATGTCGAACTCGGGTCACTCGCCTGATAGCTCGAGCCAAAATAGTTAAGGCGGTCTCAGCAGGAGGGATGGATGAATGGTAAACCCTCGAGTTGGTTTGTTCTTTATTCATTTATTTATTTAGTTATAATAAACAAAGATAAAGGTCCGGTATTCGGTCTTAACCGACTAAAGTATAAAAACCGAATTCAACTAGCCCAGTTTCAACCGAAATCGATTAAGGTGTAAAGTGTGAAAGTGATTAACCGTGAGATTTCGAAATCTCCTCTTGAAATTAAATCAATATATCTCTTACAAAGGATTATTAAAATATTATTCTAAAACATTGATTATAAATGCTAAACAGTTAGGTTCTGTACCATTGATATCTCTATATTATATTTAAAATTCATATTATGAAAATTTTTATATTAGATTTATCGCTTCAAAAACATTGGGGGGGGGGGGCATTTAAATTAAAATCTCACAACCATCCGAGGAATTTTGATGGTGTGAGATTTCGAAATATCATAGATCATTTTCACACGTTACACCGATTTCAGTTTCAGCCAAAAAGTATCTGGCCGTTGATCCTATCTATATGATAGCTCCTCGATATCAAAAATGTTATATTAGAGATGGTGTATTTAAATAATTTATTTTTTTAATTTTCACGTATTAAAACTGCTAAAATAAAATTCAAAAGTTAATTTGTAGTAAAATGACAAGTGAATTTTGTAAGTGATATGTTTGGTGGAATGAAAAATTAAATAAAATCTGATTTAAATCAATAGTTTATTTTTAAAAAAGGAATCCCTTGATTAAAACCGAATAGATTTTTATTTCCACAACCTGCCAGAATTTTTTAAAGAAAAAAATCTTCTTAAATTACCTATGAATTTTCCGTTTTTAAGGTCCGTTATAAATTCATTTCCGTGCCCCTCGCATTTGGAATGGGTTTGGTGAGCGTTCATATTGACGCTGAGGCGGAATCTAACCGTACTCTTTTCCGATATACTTATGCTGATATTAAAACAAATAAAACCATTAAAATTTTTTTTATTTAAACCATGCCCACCAAAACTAGCGATAAAAGATAATATATTAAAATTGGGGACCCTAAAACAACGGGATTCCTATTCAATTTCCGGTTAAAAAATTCGTTCTGTCGCGTTCCAGGTCTCGGATATTCAGGTACGCGTTTTTTATATTTAATCTAATTAATTAGGTCTCGGAATATTCAGGTACGCGTTTTTTATATTTAATCTAATTTTTTACATCTACTAAGCATTACTATTTGAGTATTGATTTCAAAATGACAACCTTTTAGACACACTAACCCGTAAATAAAATTATCCATTAAAATTCAAAACTTTGATTGTTAAACATTACTCGATTTTAGTGTACTTTCCTATTAGGACCTCCTCTTAAAATATCCGTGAAAAGTTAGTTTTTCATATATAAAGTCAGTATATCCACATTTCACTAACCTACCTAATTGGTGACGTTTGATGTTAATACAAGCGCGGCAGAATTTTCAGTGTCCGCCATTGTAGTACGAAACCAGATTTATAGATAACACAAAGCAAAAAGGGGATATGTAAGATAGCGGTAATTTTTAGGAGGTATAAAAAATATAAAAGAGGAGACAAATATATCTGATAACTAGTTTGGATCTGTTTTACTGATGCCATTATTTTGCTTAGTAAATGTTTTTATCGATTTGGAAAAGACGTTAAATAGATTATCTCGGGAGTTGAACTGACGGTGCCTGCCACAAAAGAATATTCCAGAATATACTGCTAATCTCATTTAAAAACGTATACGAAAGTGATTGAAAAAGTTTTTTTTGTCGGGTTGAATTGCATAAAAGATCAGAATTTTGAGCCCATTTTTAACCCTTCTTACCTTAGACACGCTAACGCGAGTAGACTTGCAGAAACCAACGCCGTGATGCGTATTGTATGAAAATGATAATCGTAAATATGTGACAAAAAAAGAAGTAAAATTGTGTTATTGGACCTGAGTGATTAGATGGGTTACGGAGATAGTGTGCAAGCGTAAGAGTAGGTTTCAAATAGGGGAGTACCCAAAAGCTAGCGATTAGAGATTTGGAGGATGTTCGAAGGAGATGGTGGCAAGAATTCCAGAAGGGGTAGCTAACGTGTAAATGTAAACCCCTTTCAAGTAATTTTATTTGAAGATGTGCTTTATATAAGTAGTTTGGTAATAAATGAGTGCGTGAATAAAATAAACCAACGAATCGATAGAAGACGGAATGAATTATGTTACGTAAGTAAAAATAAATAAATATTATATACCAAGCAACATTCCTAGGTCCATTGGCAAGCGGCAATATTGGTAAATCTGTGTAAACATTCGTTCCTTCATCCAAGATGAAGGACAAGGGCTTTTCTATGTCTGCACTTTCCTAAAAATATAACGAGTTCGGTTTGAGCACATTTTTTTTTAAAAAATATAGGCTACACCAAAACCCGTTTATTTTTCTTAAATTTACTTTTTAAAATTATCTATAATTTACGCAACTGTCAAGGTTGCTTAATGGAGAGTTCCATCAAAAAAATGTCATTTATTAATATCTAGACTGACCATCTCTCTAAATGCGTAAGTATATATCAGCTGGTTGCGCCTCCATCTTGGTTTCCAATTTAATAATTGATATAAAAATTTTCTGAAAACTTGAATATTAGTTTCATTTATATATATATATTATAAAAAAAAATATTATGTGAAACCAAGATGGCGGGTGACCAGCTGATTTGTATTCGACGATCATTCGCAACGCATTTCTAAAGAATGAATCGTCATTCTAGATATTACAATATGTTGATATTATATTTAAAAAGAAGCCATATTTTTATTGGTCATCCCGTTTATAATTGGTTCCCCTAATGACCAATCATATTCAATTACCCTTATGAAGATTATTTTTTCGATGATAAATATCACTTTTTTTTCTTCCCTTCTCATTACAAAATTACAATATCCAACGATTTGGGATTAAATATTTATTTTTGAATCTAAAACAAATCATATTTCCTCCCTTTTTAGATATATTTATGTATTTTTGAATATCCAATAAAAATATTAATTTTAATTTCGTCATTAACAATTATTTATTTTTAATAGCCTCTTTTAATAAAAAAAAAATAAAAAAATAATCGATAAAAGTTCATTTAATTTATATATTTTTTTAAAAAAAAATATTTAAAGAAGAAATTCAAGGACAACATAACTAAAATATGAATCATTAATATATTTTTTTTTTCGAAATTAAATTAGAAGAAAACCGTCAAAAATGGCGAATAGTCCTATATCCATATCACCAAAAAGGGAGAGAAGGGGTTAAGGGAGTGTTGCGAAATCGGTTAATTGGAAACATCCCTTCGAGGCGCAACGAATCAAGCTAAGCCGCCATAGTATTCGTTTAAACGGTTTAACATATCGCTTTAGTCTAAAACACGGTTCAACCGATGGTTTTCCTATTAAAACCCGATTCAACCGATTTTAGTCTATCCTCCACGACGTAGCGTAGGTCCCAAAAATTTGACTAAACCGTAATGGAGGCACCTTTCGACTAATATTGAGTTTGATATAAATAATTCACAATCATAGTTTTATTTGCCTATCTCTTGATTAAGATCTGGTTGAATGAGGGTGTGAAAAAAAAGACAAAAGTAAATGAGATTGGAAGGGAGACCTAAGGATAACAGTTTGACCAAAAAATTGAGTTAGAACGTTATAATAGTTAATCCACGGTGTTTTAGTTTTAGATTAATCGAGTCTATTTCGACGCGATTTTAAAAAATTGTTATAGTATATTCCCCATTCATTTTCAATAATAATGTATGTTTTAATTCTTGATTTTGAATATAATATAATTTTTTGGCGCGAAATTATCGCATTCGAAATCATATTCGCGCGAGATGCTAATGCCATAAAAGGGCCGGGATAGCTTAGTCAAAATCTCTTTATGACAAGGAACTACACTTCAAAAAAAACAATTATGAATTTAATGCTTACCAACTCTGAAGCTAACATCTCCGCTATAACCTTGGCCCCGTTAATACCCCCTACCTCTTCGTCGTGACCGAAGACTAGGTAAAATGGCGCTATATTTCCCAAATATCCAGAATTCGCTAATTTATCAAGATCCTGAGATTCATCGAGGAAATGTTCTAAGGCTTGCAAAACGCCGAGAACCACGTGTTTGCAATCCAATGTGCCACGACCATAAATGTATCTTTTGTTTAAAAAATATATAATCATATGGTAAATGAGATTATTGAATGCAATAATCACTAGCCCAGACAAAGTGATTTATTTATTTCTAACATACATTCGTTTCATATTGCGAAGCAAAAAAAACATAAATAAATTGGATTTCTGGGATACAAAACAAAGACTTTGCATTTGTAGACTTACTGAACTCAACCAGAAAATAAAGTGAATGATTGATTATTATTTTATTGACAATTTCTGTAGCAAATTATTTTATTTGTTAATTATATTTCGTATAAATCATCAAATATATATACCAATATATGATGCGTCGTGTTAATAAATAGCTAAGTAAAGTAAACGCAATTATCAATCACTTTATTTTCGGATAATTTCATTTACATCCTATAAATATAAGGATATTTTATATTAATTGCAAAGCCACAGTAACCGTCTCTTAAAAAGTTGCGTTAATTCATCGCTAAACGAAAACATAGCTGTATAATTTAACGTGATGTATTTTATAGGCGACGCGATTTACGCGCTATACACGCGGTTACTATAAACGAGGCCTAAATATTCTCTCTTTATATATAATTATTCATATTTTTCAAAAAAAATAATCCCTTATCCCTATTGGGTTAATTCCCTTCCCTATTCCTATTGGATAAGCTTGACAGCAAATATAAAAACATAGATATTATAACATCAGTTATTACCTATTTTCCCATTGTGTGTGTATGTCAGCTTGATCGTCATCTAAATTATTGATAAAATAAAATAATTCAATTAAAAATTCTCTTTTTATCCCCTTTTTTATTTAATTTTCTTTTTTAGGTTCAAATTTTTTTTTAAACTTATGACTGTTTTTCATTTGTTAATTTATTTTCATCATTTTGGGAGATTAACATTTTTTCTAATCATCTACCGAACACATTTTGCCCTAAAGGAGAGTAAGATTGGTGGGGGGGGGGTGAATGCCAATGTTATAATCTTTTGTGTCACAGGGTTCCCACCAATCACAACACATCACTAAGGTCAGACATTCAGTCTCTAGAAATGCGAGTGGCCAGGATGATGTCACACTGGAATGAGTGAGGACGAGAATCGTAAGGTGTATTGAATCTTGATGAGGCTATTTTTTAAATAGAAAGAAAACTTGGTTAGAGGGGTGGCCTGATAGGATTTGGCGCTATGTACTACGAAATGCCTGCCAAGAATACGGAGAAGGGCTTGTCACACCCGAGACAACTGAATGTATTAGGGCGTTTTAATCTGCGCGATTGACACCAAGAATGAAATAATGAATTATTGATTATCAAACTCGCTCTAGGTTGTAGTTCTCTATCAGTTAAGTAGGATCCTGATAATTGGGATCGCCAATTTCCCTTTCTCGCGTGGGCCGATTAATTATAGCACTCTATAATTGTGAAGATAGAGTTTACTTTAATTTTCAAGTCAAACCGATCACGCTATACATTTCCCACAGAAGAGTGTTGCTCCTATATGGTCGCCTTGTTGAATTCCCTCAACGAAAGAGATTAATTGGTACCAAAATCGAAAGCGAGTTGTCGGGATATATAAGCGAAGGCGGCGAAATAATTCGCGGTGAAAACAGATTTATTCAAATTTTAGGACACGTAAAGAGAAACCTACATTCCATCACAGCGGTCTAGGGATAACGTTGAGTTGTTTATTAGGTTCTTACGGCTCTTAGCCAAACATTTTGTGATGCGTGGGGAACTTCTTCCCGTTAATCATCGCACAATCATCCAGTATGCCGCCATCTTACCTAATAATGAGCTTTAGATTAAAGGCCCTCCCTTACGAATATAGGGAATCTCTCTAGTTGTTGCAGGCCACAACATTTGAAAGGTTCGGTTTTAAAAAGTGTACCGATATCGGATTACCAAAAAAAAGGTACACCCATAGTTAATAATGGAGATTTATTATACAAATAAGGTAGATAATGCTTAGAAGATAAAAAAAAGTTACAAATTAAGTTATGAATACTAGGGTTAGGAGGGTCAATCTCGCCAGAAAAGGGTTCGAATTTCCAATAATCCAGATCTTCGGGTATGACCGGTACCACGTCCAAATGGGCTATGATGCCCCAGGGTTTTTCTTTAATTTTTTTCGAATCTCCGACATCTTTTGAAGGGTCAGTTATGAGGTTTCGAGTTTTGAGACGCTTAAAATCGCAAACGTATAGTAAACTGAGTTCGTTTACCACGCGCCTCTTAATGCAGGGGCATGAATGCACCCTTGGAAAAGCTTGATTTTTATTTTTGAATGTAAAGGTGAACGTTTTTTAAAAAAAACTTAAATTTTATATCTTTTTTTTTTTAAAAAATCATCTCTCTCTATACCATCGTATCCTCTAATCTATAGGTTTATTTGTCGCACTTTTTTCTGTTCGGTTATCCAAAAAAATAAAAGCCGATTGTCTTAGAAAATTTTTCATTAGAGACCTGCCAATGGGTGCCTTGGTTTTTGACCCTTCCCCATCTTAATGTGCGTGCAGGCAGGATAATATGTTTTTTAGACAGCTGGTAACGAATCTTAGTAAATGAGAGTGATTTTAAATTTTTGTGGAGCAAAGAGTAAGGATTTTTAAAAAAAAAACCCTTCCCTCTCGTGTGCATAGTTGGTCGAACAAAAAACCAATTCACTTTTGGCTTATATTTTTAAGTGATCAGGGTGGGGTTGAGTGATCGGGGTGAGGTCTAGCTATTGTTTTTATTTAAAATGAACTCGGGGCTGTCGATTTGTTCAGAAATAAAAAAAAATTATACAAGAGCATCATATTCCTTTATCCGAATAGAATACTGGAGAAAGGTAGATAAAACCTATTTTTTTTGGTTTATTTATATATGGATTTCGACATAACGAGGTAATACCTTCATAAAAGAGTAAGCGCAACCAAGGGGGGAGAGGGAATATTCCCTTCCATAGCAAATCAGCCTGTTTTCTTAAATGTCATTTTCAGCTAATAAATCCCCCACCCCCCTACACAAATCCCCGCCCTACCCCTCCACCCTTAAAAAAATGTAAACAATATATCAACCGTAAAAGAAGAATTTGAAAGTAAAATTGGTAAAAAGTTAAATAACTTTATAAGATTGATGGGTATAATTAAAATATTCTTAGAAATGATAGCGTCCAATGCCTTCTTTCCGGTAATGTGTTATTTTTTTTTTCAACTTTAAATCAATTATTTTGAGCGCGTTTTCTAATTTTAACGGAAATGTATGCAATCATGTTTGGAATTACCTACCCTATCAATTTCGGTTAATTTTTCCACGAACTTTCAAACTCGATATAATTTATATCATAATTTTTATATATTTTTTTTATTTTTATATATAAATTGTTAAATTACTCAAAGGTTCACAGCAAAATTGTCTACGATTCATAGGATAGGTAATTCCAAACATGATAGAATATATTCCTTAAAAAGCGGTCAAAATTATATTAAAATTGTAAAAAATATCTCCCGGGAAAAATCCATAAAAAAAAAGAGTTGAAAACCTTAAAAAAATATAATAAGTTAACCAAAAAGGCATCCAATATAATTTATGGGTACAAAAAAAACCAACTTGATAAGTGCTTACCCTACCCTTCAATCCTAGATAACGCTGTTATAGTGTTGTTATATAAGATTTCAGCTACTTCTCTTCTCTTCTCTTCGCTACTCATAATATTATGTGAGCATCGAGATTTTGGCAAATAGATGTCCAAGCATTTTCTGCCAGCTACGTGCAAAACCTTTAGGCTCATACATAATGTTATTTTAGTTTATAATCTTAATCGAGCCGGTTTTTAAATCGAATCGGGCCGATTTCTAAAACCGACCCGAGGGCTCTTTAACAAAACCACCCCTGTACGGTTTAATAATGTTTAAAAGGTATACTTATAACTTAAAAATTCATTCTTATTCAGAAAGCTATCATAGAATTCTAAAAAAAAAAGAAAGAAAAGAAAAAGGACGCAGTTCTAAACTAAATTTTAATCCGAATTTAAAAAAATAAATAACAAGCAAGTAACGTCTCTCGAAATAATTTATAAGTGTTTTTCCCGGCAATATGTTATTTTTTTTACGACTTTTAAATCATTTATTTGAGCGCGTTTTTTTCGGATTTTACCGGAAATGTACTCTTATCATGTATGGAATTACCTATCTTATGAATCGTCGACAATTTTGTTGTTAAAACCATTGAGTCATTTTATAATTTATATTATAAAAAAATATATATATAGAAAATCGAATAATATGAATTATATTAAGTTTGCAAAGTTCGTATAAAAATTGTCTGAAACTCTTAGAATAAGTGTTCTAAACATGCTGAGATATGCTGAAATACATTTCCGGTAAAAATTGATATAAAGTTGAAAAAAAAAATAACACATTGCCGAAAAAAAACAACATATAAATATATGTATATGATAAAGATAAACAAAAATTAAAAAAATGACCAATAATTCATTTCTCATTTTCAAACAATGATTTTTTTTTTTTTTTCGTCCTTTAAATTTTGTTTTTAGAAAATCAAAATATTTTAATCTTATTTGAAAATGACCTCGATGAAGTGGCCATATTATTTATATATTTTATTTTTTTATTAACTAAAAATTAAATAAAAATTTAAAATGTAATATCGATTTTTAATTTTAAATATTTTTTACATTTAATTATCGCTAATGTAAAATGAGGGCAAGACCCGAAGCCCTGTCGGAACGACAATTTAGCATTTTAAATCTCCAGTTCCGAAATGAAAAAATCATTTGAATAAGACCTCCCCAAATCCCTCCCTTATACTATACAAAAATTCGTGATATATTTAAAAAAAATAGGGATGTGTATTTGGCCGGTCAAATATGGCCAAATTTAAATGAATATTTTTTTTTATAGGATAATATTATATATAAAATATCAATATTTTAGCCAGAAAAATATTGCCTAAGGCCTCGAGATTTCGACAATATATGTCTAGATCTTTGTTCCTTCTATGAGCAGAATCTTTGGACTTACGTTATATTTCTCTGGATAAAATAGCGAGTTAGACGTTTTCGGCTCAAAAATAGCCGTTTAACAACGCTATATAGTATTTATATATAATGAATCTACGTAAAAATTCTATAAAATAATCCGTAGCATAGCTAATTTTAGTTTTAAAAAACATTTGGCATTTTTACTTGAATCAGAATATTCTACAAGAATGTTTCGTTCTTAATCAATCAAAGGTTACGATATATCCTGTTTTTCAAGATCTTCAATCGATTCCTTCGTACGAATATTACCCCAAACCTACCAATTCCTAACTGAAAAAGGAAGTATAACAAGGAATTGTTATTAAGACATTAGTAGACACTTCTCTTAATGCTCAAGGTGGGCAAAGCCCGTTCCAATAACTCGAGGCTCAAAATCTGATTACTTTCCGCATATTTTGGCGAATTAAATATACCGCCGTTTTGACTTCTGAAATCTACGATATCACTAAAAATATTTTGATTTATCATTTCTTTGGATAAAATGCCTAATTCTTGTATCAGGTCACATGCTTCATCAAAATCATTATTAGTAAGATGATCCCCCTTGTATTGGTAGCTCCAATAATCAGCAGTGCCGAGCACATGTATTTGGATAGTTATTTATCTTTCAAACGTATTTTTAATTTTTTTTCTCTTCAAGTGGAGAAATTATAAAATCTTGGCATGATTGATGAATTATGTGTTTTCTTTCCAAATTATGAAACTCGTTTTTTTATGTGGGGCAAAGCACAATTATCTAGTGCTGTAAACGACCACAAAAAAAGAAACGAGTTACTGTTGCTCGTTACCTCTAGAAGAAGGTAACGAATGGCGTTCTTTTTCTTCGAAAAAGGTAACGGAGTTAGTAACGTCGTTACTTTGCAGCACTACAATTATCCCTTTGCATTTACAACATTAAGATAGCTAAAATGTTAAAGAATAGTTTAAAAAATTTTAAATTTATCGTCCATATTTTTGGAAATTTCCTTCGGGCAAATATCCAACTAATTCAACAGCAGCTTTCAGAGCTTTCTTACATATTTGTATTTGCTCCTTACACTTTATCCATGATGCCCATCATTTTTCGGTTAATTGTACATAATCTATAATATAATTTTCCGATATCCTCACTACGTCATTCGTGACGTCATGTCATCGGTACGTACAATATAGGTTAATGATGCTTACTACCTTAAGGTGTTACCTTGTCAAATTTGTATTTTGTTTATTTTTCATTAGGATAGGCACTACCAAATATATTTATAATATATATTTGAAAAATCGTGATTTTTGGAAAGCACCTGTGATCTAGTCGGCAAGAGTGTCGCTTACCAATCCGATGGTTATGTGGTTCGAATCCCAGCAATGATTGAGTCCGGCCTCCTATATATCAACCCCCCCCCCCCCCAAGGACGGAACCATTAAGTTAGATTAAGAAAATATTTTGTATACGTTGACTTGGTAGTAACTATCATTAACCGCTTCTTGTAGGGTATGAAAAAAAATGAAAGTTATTTTTTATTACGTAGTATTATAATAAGGGCAGGGGTGTATTGAGATAGAAGCGGAGGAGTACTAAGAACCTCACACCCCCCCCCCCCCCCCCTCAACCATGAAATTATATTAATTTATTTTTAGGTGTTAAATTTGAATACCTATCCTCATAGGCAAAAAAAATTTTTAAAGAAAATTATAGAGCCCCCTCCAAGCCATATTTATAAGCAAAAGTGAGAGATAAGATGGTCAAAGTAGAGGTGAAACACTTCAACAACAACAAAAAACATATTTTTTTCTAAAATAAAATATTTAAATTATGCTATGGCCTTCATTTTATTTTCTTTAAAAAGTATAGTATAATATATATATATTTCTATTTGTTTTAATAACTATTAATTAATTTAACAATAGAGTGCAGAATAGATCGTCCAAAAATATAAGAATAATTCGAGATACGAATAATATCGAGTTTAAAAATCCGGCATCCGTGTCGTATGATCATTTATATTATAAATAATTTATAATCTTAATTGAAGATTTCTATCAAAAGAAAAAAATCGATCATTGCTCGTCTTGTCTGGAAAGTGGAGCTAAAATATTCACCGAGGAAAAAAAAAATTTCTAAGATATTTTTCTTTGTTTTAATCGATTTATATGTTTTTAAAAAAAAATGGGTTCTTCAGTTTATTTTATCATTTTCGTGTAATATTTTGATTGGGTTAAACCGACTCATATTTTTAGAAAACTAAATGGAGTCTAGTTACCTTGTCAGTCAAAATCGGTCCGGACCATTTTGGAAAATAAAATAACTGGAAATCATATGGTTTCTAAACTTGATTAGAATGCAACTGACTATATTTTTTGGTAAAAAAAACAATTCTGATTGGGTAGATCTTAGCTGGTCTTGGTTGACTCTCACTAATTGTAGTAAATCATAAAAGGAAATTATGCCAAGACCTAAAGATAGGGGGTGCCAGAAAAATAAATTAATAATGTACCCCCTTTTAAAATGTTTAACTATTTAAAAATTAGATTGCAAATCTTATACTGCTGATAATTTATTTTTTTTATATAAATTAGAAATTATTAAATTTAGACTTGATGCCCAAGTAATCTTTCTTGAAATCACCAAAATATTAAATTAAAATTTTTTTAAACATTCTAATCACACAAGTTATATAGGAGACCTGCATTGGTACAATTTGCATGGTCCGGCCTGGACTTTTGTATAGACTAATTCATATATAAAAAATTTGCATGTTGCTTTTAAGTTAGAATTAATAGGGGGACTAAATATAGACTACAGTGGTCAAAATTTTAGCGAAACAATATTTAATTTTCAAGCCTGGAGCAAGTATTTTTTAGTTCATTATATGTTGATAAATTTTGGCTATGTATTGCAAATTGTTTAAAAGGGAAATTGAAAGTATATAAATAAACACTAAATGAGCAATTATAAGATTTTCATAATCATTTCACTGATTGATATAATTTTAAAAATTGGCTCAGTCATATTTGTTTTTTTTAAATTTTAGTAATTTTAAATGTTTAAACATAATCTAATGTATAAAGCCATATCATTTTTAATTCCATGCTGGGTCTGAATGTAAATTATCAAATTGTATTCCCTAATCAATGAAAGTAAAAATTCTTAAATTTGCAATTTTAAAAAGATTTGATACTTTATATAACACATATATATAGGGCTTACAAATTATAATTTTAGAAATGTAAAAGTATAAAGATAGAACAAGATATAAATTTCATATTATTTCCAATAAAATAATGATAGAAAAAACTGAACTTATATATCTTAAAAATATATTTGTTTTTTTGAATTCTTATATTTAAATACTTCATAAAAGTAAAACATTAATAATTTAGAAATATTGAATTAGAACCTTGTTCAAGGTATTTAATAAGAGCTTTAATTTCTGATTCATTCACATCTCCAATATCTTTAGATACAGTTTTGAATGTAATAGCTTTTGAAAATCTTTGGAATACCTTATCCCACTCTAAATCTATAAAAAAATTGATTTTAAGAATAGCATATAAGTTTTATATTGAGATATTTTTATGACCACCAGAATTCAAATATAAATTTTATAAAAATACCTAATAAAGGTAATTTTGAGACATTTTCGTGCTTAATTAGTTCTTTAATTTTTACTGTTTTATATAATAGATAAAAAATAAAGGATAATAATCCAGCTAAAATTGTTATTATAAATTCAAACATTTGAACATTAATAAAACATATGTTTTATGTTACTCCTCTCTTAATTGAGGAATTTTTTTAGTGCATATTCATAATAATAATTATTTTAATTAAATATAGTAATAATTTCTTTCGAATCTTGCGTATTTTGCATAGTTTGAATTACCCGGCTCAATAATATATGACTCTGATATAATTTATTATGAATTTTATTTTAGATCTATAGTTAGTCATCTAGCTCTGATTTCATAATTTATTTATCATTTTATTAAAGTAATTTCAAATTCCAAAAACATAAAACATTCTCCAATATTCCCCTTTATTATCATTAGTAAAAAATCTTGTTCAATATCTCTTCTTAACTATATGTTAATTTTTTTCCTTCGGAATTTTAGTATAGATCTTTAGAATGATTGAATTAAGATCTAAAATCGTGATAAATTTTTAAATATTAGTTTTGGTTTTAATTTTTGTTAAGCTACGGACTTAATATTTTTCAAATAAATGAACGGCAATTGTTTAGATATTATTATTACGTAAATTAAATGATTTATATGCGATTTGTATTCCTAATTTATTTTAAACCACAAAGGCGTAATTCAAAATCGGCTTGAACGACATATACCCCTTCATTAAAATTAATTTTAAAAGAATTCATGAATATTGCTAGCTACGTTGCTATAAATGAGTGAAATAGTTTCAGCTTTTCAAAAGGAGTTTCTATAAAATTAGGAAGTGATAGTTACATGATTTGTACGATCTGTAGTTATCAATTACTTGTATATAATATATTAGACAACACTTGAATATAATATTTTACTTATCATGGCCTTTAAATTAGAAGATCCAGGGCATTGAGCACAATCAAAAACAATTTGATAATGCTCGATTACAAATTATTTTTGGCAATATATTCTTATATCTAATCCTAATTAAATCTTCATTTAAAGTAATTTTATAATAAAATTTTAATTTTTACACTCCAAATCCCTAATGTTATTGGTAGGCAGGCGAGCTAAAATATATAGCTCGTAGATGGGTTGGTCGAATTATTTAAAATTATGAACGCACATTTTAAGAATATTATGCAAATAGATCTCTCGATTTGAACAATTTATTTTTCAAAACAATATGCCTAATAAACTACTCATTTTAATGCATCTGTTATACAATTTTATTGAATATTAAGTCTTGTCATTCGCTATAGTAGCAATGAGGTCTAAAAAAATGCAAAACTTTTTATAAATGGTGGGGGAGGGGTAGAACTGGGAAATATCACATTTCTAATAAACGTATCAATATTTTCATTTTCCTTAAGAATAATATTTATTTCAACCATAATCCTTAGTTTCGTATAGCGCCATCTATTTTTTTCAATTTTTTTGTTAAGGCGCATATTTCGGAAGAGCCGATAGTATCGTCAAGGGTATGACATCGTAAATATTTTTATAAAAGGTGTCTATATAAAAGGGAAATGTAAATTTCCGAAATCATACTCCCTTTATTGCTTAAAACACATGTAAAGAATATAGGCAAACCGAAAATTAAACTTAAATTGGCGTCAATTTTTTAAAAATTTTTGATAGATTTTTAGGGTTTTTTTTACCTTCAATATAATATATTATTTATTTCTTTACTATAAATATTTTAAATTTTACAGATTCCAAAGTGGCTCTTTTTTTTCATCTATATCTCGGGAACCAGGTGTGCTAGCAAACTAAAATAAATGCATTCTTATTTATTTTAACCTATCTAAATGATTCCTGAACATTTTAACAATTTTAGAAGGGGTCAGCCGTAATTTTACATATTTTATTTTAAACTAGTTCTTTTTTTTGTCCCTCTTTTGTTTAGCCTTAAATACATATAAATGAAATTAGTTTTTTAGGCCCCTGTTTTGTTTGATTTTATTACAGTAAAAGTAAAACATATGGTTTTTGTGTTTTCTCTTAATCAAGGGTTTTTCATATTTTTGAATTCCTAAAAAAGGTGCTCAGTAGCTATAAATTAGATATTTAAGTCTCGAAGATCGTCCTAAATCTAGAGGTACAATAACAGTTCCGAAAAGTATAGAGGGGTTGGTTTTATCCTTAATTATGTAAGATAAAACTAACACAAATGTCGCAAAAATGTTCATTTTTTTTTTACTTTACGACAATTTTATGTTAATTTATAATTGCGCTTTTTATTTTCCCTATAAAAGAGACTGATTTTTATGTTTATAATCTTCATATATTTTTTTGGTTTATAATCTTATATTTTCATAATTAATTAATTTTTCTAAGTGATAAAATTTAAATAAAGTTTTATTACGTGACAATTTTTATATCTAATAATTTGCGTTTTATTCCCGAAACCTATTATGGTCCATACCCACACCCATGGACTGACTGGCGAGGTGCCTCCTACAATACTACCCTTAACTGAAGCCCCACAAATTAAGACCCATATAAAAATTTGATTGATGTTTAGCAATATCATTGCATTATAATAGGTCTATAATAAAAGTATTAATTTTTATAGCAATATATTTTGTCCTATTTCATTTAAAAATTTAATAGTTAACACTCTAATAAAAGCATAACCCCCTCAAATTCTAGGCCCCTGAAAAAAATTGGATGCAAAATGTTCCTAACCCCCCCCCCCCCCACCCCGTTCAATATAGATGCTGCTCCTAACATACCCTTAATGTATAATGACGTTATATTGTAACTCTAAAAAGTTATTGATTGGCCATATATAATAATAGCATTAAATTAGGGCAAATTTTACCTTATGGCTGAAGAGGTTAGCCTAAAAAATATCATCAACAACCTTTACACAAAATATGTGTGTACCTGTCCGGAAGTTGAAAGTGGAGGGGGGGGGTGTAAGAACATTTTACATACATGTATCGTCAATGGGGAGTGAAAAATATTTAGGGCGGTTGGAAGTAAATCTGAGGGTGTTGCGACCTTTTTATAGACGCTGCTAACATTCGTATAATTTATCACGAGATAAATTTGGGATTTTATATTTTTTGGTTTTTATATAATTATAACAATATATTTCTTTATATTTGACGGGATAATATTAATAATTTATAACGTAAAACTCTATATTCACGGTCACAGACAGTTTTGGTTTTTTTTTTTGATATAATACGACATCAAATTCAAATTATATAAATAATGAAAAATAATGAACATGGCTTCTCTGAGAATATAGATATAGAGTCAATATATACATTTAAATATGACATGGGAACATGTAGAGATTTAGATTTTACAAAAAAAAATAGGATTTATGTATGAAATGATCGCCGTAAAATCTGAGGCCAATTAGAGAAATTAAAGAGAACTTTCTAACGAGGATAATGGTATAATTAATAGGGAAATCCCGTCTTAATTTGATAAAACTGCTTTAAGGCCGAATTTGTTGGATATGAATATTACCTTATAAAATTCTAATTATAGTTTGTTATATATATTGTGATTGATGCGTGCGTTCAAATAGCCAATCCAAACACGTTGACGATACAGTACATGGTTTTGTTTTCCCATCTCACGGTGCAACTGCCTAACAATAATGAATACACATTTAAAAATATATAATGTTAAAAAGGAAAAATAAAATAAAATAATGGAAGAAATAATATTTAAAAAAAAGGTAACCATCGGTAGTGTTATCCCAGTAACATGAGCTAGCGGTATGTAAACCAGCGCCATTTTTTTGCATTATAACGCACGTGACTTTTTTTTGATAATTTTACATAATTTTATCATAAAATATCAAAAAAAACTGACATTTATTTAAATCATGAACTAATCCTTTTTAACCCCCCCCCCTCTCTCCAACCCCAGTCCAGATGATACTTATCTATTTTTTTTATATGCTTTATCCTAAATATCAAAAAAAAATTAAATTAAATTTCACCAACTCTCAAAACTTTACCGAAAATAAATAAATAAGCTATTTTAAATTTAAAAATAAAAATATGTCCAAAACATAATTCTAGATTTTTTTAAATAATTTTAAATATTTAGCATATCGAAGATAGAATTTGCAAAAGTTTTTATAACTATATGTATGTTTTGAAAGTGGTTTTAAACACAGCGCAACCCTGCACTCACAGTTTTAACCGCGAATGCAGGGTAATACGGAAATGGTATATTTATTTTAAAAAAATGAATCAGCTGTGGACGTAAAATTAATGATCTAAAATAAATAAAATAAAAAATTACCGATATATTTAAAAGGTTTTCCCAATTTGGTCAAACGGGCCAAACAAGTTTCCACCACATTGGACGTCCATTGATTGACTTTCGTGGGTAGGTAGGTGTTGCCCCCGATTATGTTTTCGACTCCCTTTCGTAATTTTTTAAAAAAAACAACTCTTTTTTATATTGAAAAAGAGGAAACGGAAGTAAAAAATGATATTATGAGTTTCCGCTGACATGGCGTTGCCTGGATTTCGATAATGCCAATTACGTGTTAAAATTTTGAATTTCAAAAGCAATAAAAACGGTTAATTAATTTTTTTTTCTCTTTAAATTTTAATCGCGAGTATTACGTGAATGTGTTGGCGCGTAAAAAACTTGGAAGAGAAAATGTTTTCAAATAGACCATTTCCCCCGTATAATGTATTTCACACCTGACAAAACCTTTATACCCTGTAAAGATTAATTTAAATCCTTTTTTCTTTCGAAAATAATTTCTATTATTTTAACAATATTATACCCGATATTACTCAATATCTAGCTCCATATGGAATACATAAATATATAAAAAAATTTGCGACTATGTTTGTTTGTAATAAATTTTATATTCAAGTGATTAAAAAACTTGATTTTTGGAACTAATTAAATATTTAAATGCAATTTAGAATAAAAAATATTAATTAAAAAAAATATATGAATTAGAGAGGGGTTGAAGGGTGAAAAATGACAATTTTGAAGGCCTAAAAATCAATAAAAAAAACACTATTTATTTATTTTCGATTTCGTATCGTAAAACTAAGTATTGTAAAAAATATGTTAAAGCTAAAGGAATTATGTAAATGAGAACTGAAATAACAAAAAAAAATGGTATAAGAATATGAGCTGGGCATCCGTGGATGGGGCAAAACAATTTCCGGACCGGAAAGGCTCGGGTAAAATTGGCGGATAACTAGATAAAATATTTTTAGTCCCGTCCAAAATTTCGGCTCAGAATTAGGGCTAATATATGTCTTTTTTCTTTCATAAATATTTTATTAAGGAGTAGGGGGTAAAATAGAATAGGGTATCACGGATCAATTCATGTCATTCCAATCTCTAATAAAAAAAAATAGCACGATGCATATTATAAATACAAATTAGTTTGGTGATAGGATTATATAGAACTTTGTGTTCTTTCAGGCACGGAAATATTTGGAAAAATAAGTGGTATCATATGGATACCACCTCCCCCCCCCCCTCCCAGCCATATGTAGGTAGCTTCCCATCTAAATTCTGGTGCCTTAAAGGATTAGGGGTTTTTCCATATAAGTTATACGTGTACGCTGAGAAAAAAACATATGATAAAATCAGAATAATCCTCCATTTATACGCGTATCTTAAATTAGTTTCTGTTTAGAAGAGGGTTATCACTAGAATTTGATCACTTATTTATATGCAAAAAAAAGATTAAGGCTAGATTAATAGTAAAAAAAACGTTAAAATCAGGATATCGCCCTCAAAAACAGATGTTGGATACGAAAACCAGGCAAGTTTATCGCGTCTTGGTGTTTTTTTTGGACAGCGCGATCGCGCCTAATCTCCTAGATCCAGCTTAACGATTACATTCTTCCCTAGTTTCCACGGGGAAAGATAATACGAGCAAAATTTCGTTCCAAATAAAAATGATAATAAAAGTATATAATATGATAAAAAAAAATTAATCTTCTAAATATGAAAAATTAGAAAAAGAAGAAATTATTATAATTAATAAATTTTTTTAAAAAAATTTTCGACCTCTATTTCCGGGGCATTTATATATTTAATTCTTCCCACCTTCTTCTTAATTATGAATTGTTATATATAAAAAATAGATAAGATGATTTTAAGTACTTATATTGCGCACAAAATTACCGTTTGGCGTTAGCAACCATTTTAAAAACGAGAAATAGGTTTTCTTCGCTTTGTAATATTATATAAAATGTAATATAAATAACTTACTTATTAAAAAGGAATATTTAGAAAATTAAAGAAATAAGAAGGCAGACAAGACAAATTTTCTTTTTTTTTAAAAAAGCTTATTTAAAATTTAGAATCGACGGATATTAATAAAAAGGCAACCTCAATTTAAACAAGGGATGCGTTACGTTTTTTTTATTAAAAAATTGCGGCAAAACGTAAACGCTCAATTTGTGTGAATTATTATAGTAAAAATATAATTTCGAATTCTTTCGAGAATATTCGAAAGGTAAGTTTGGGTGGTTTAGGAGGGAGAAAAGATTGGAATTCGAAAAGAAAAAAAGGGCGAATCGCAAAGCAGGGCAGCGAACCCATAGGGTTCAGAAATTTGAAATTGTTTGGTTAAACGTTCTGAGATTACAGACCAAATTGAGACCGATCTATGGGCAACGCATCGAATGAACCCGGGGTGAGTTCGAACAATCGGTTCCGATTAAATTGCTGTAAACAAAATCTCTGCTAAAATATATAAAATCCATGAACCCTAATTCGAGCTCGCCCCTGTGAGGGGGGGGGGCAAGAAAATTTATAGAATTCTAACTTGCTAAAAAAAACTTGAGCCCTGTAATCATTTCAAGAGTTTTCTAAATATACTTAGCTTTTGGTAGAGATTCAAAGGCTAAGAAAAACATCGAACATCGGGCTGGATTATAGGAAGGAGATCGGAAAAACCGACCGCGGATTAGGGCGAAAGCTATAGGTCATAAGCTACCCTATTGGCATATTTAAAAATTATAAATCCCCTCCCCCTCTTGTATTTTATAATATTCCTGTTAACACGCAACGCAGAATAGATTAAAAGCGATATTAGGACACGTCAAAACTAAAACTATTAAGTTCTCTCTAGAAAATCTGTGGTGACTGACAATCTTTCACGTAGAAATTGGCAAACTGATGAGGAAGATAGTTTGTTTCGGTACCAGAAGATTCCATCAGAAATAAGAGACGGGTGGTGGGCGCGAAAAAAAGGGCCCAGAAGTCCAATTATGATATTGAACGGTCTCCTGCGGAGTGAAATTTAAGATTGAAGGGGGAGGGAAGGGATTTCGTTTATATTAACCTATTCCAACCGACCGATAGCGAGAATGTTGTTAAACGGCTAGATTTCGCCTATTTTAAATGAGAATTTTAGCCAAATATTGCGCAATATTTGGTTAAAATACATCAGAGACCTGCAGGCCCGGCCGTAAGCCCGGGTACACTAGCCGGGGTGTGGCTAGGCCGGAAATTTTTTAAAAAAAAACCCGGACCGGGCTGAAAATAAAATCGGGGCTGGGCCGCGCAAATGGTACCTTTGCAGGTCTCTGATATAGATGTCCAAATATTCCTGTCAGCTATGCGCAAAATCACCAGGATCGCGTAATAATTTTTGGTAAGCTAAAACATTGGGCTAGCCCGTTTTTTAAAAAATGGAGCTGTTCAACTACACAAATAGTTGGGACAAAATTTATTTCCGATTAGTAATTATTCGCCGAATGAATCCTCGAGAAACGAGCTAAACAAAGTAATTTAATTTTCAACAAAAAATGTTAAATATTTTTATAGAATGCAAAAACATTATAAAAATTCTCTCAAGGGTTTAATTACGTTCATTTAAACAAAATAAAAAAATAATAATATTCATTAAATCTTACAAGTTAGTAAAAGTAATCTTATCTAAATCTAACTATAATATTTTTAATTATATCAAAAAATTTTAAATAAGAAAAAAAATGAAAACAAAATTCAATAGAGAAATACGATATCACATTTTTTCCGTAGCAGAAAAACCAGCTGATTTTTCAATCGTTAATTCAATCATTTCCTCATTTTCAAATTGGAGTGGTCAAGATAGTAGAAAATAACAACATCGAAACCGTACGATATTTATTGCACCCCGCTGGAAAGTGATATTTAGTATTTATTTAAATACCACTTTCTCATGCCATATGGTTATTCATGGAGAGTGAGAGAGACAGTGTTAATGGTGTAGCATAAGAAGTAATATAACACTTCGAAAAAAAAAATTAAGGTAATATTATATTATTATATTTTTTTTCTTCTTCTAACAGTGATTGGTTAAAAAACATCTGTTCCGATGCGTAATTAACAATTTAACATGGCACAGCGGTTTTTTTTATCGATTTTCGCAAATTAGGTGATAATAATTTTAGAGTTTAATAAAAAAAAATTTATTAATGTTTCTTTTTTTTTCATGAATATTTTTTTCTTCAGAAATTGTAATTAAACCTGTTGCTGTTAATTATCTTATCAATTAAATTAATTCGTAATCCAATTATTTGTCGAAAAATTGATGATGAACAGAACGTCCGGTTTGAATTCAGTAAGGACATGTGTGTTAATAGCCAGATCATTTATCTCATAATTCGAGATGCACACTGAGCTTTCTGAAAGATTTTAAACATTGGGCGTGTAACGGGCGGGTTAAAAAAACAGTTTTTTTAAAACGATGTACGGGCTATGAGCGGTTTGAATTCTTTAAATATTTATCGGGCGAAACGAGCCGAACAGACCTCTATTTAAAACATATTATTTTTTTTGTATTTCATAACAAATCGAATAGCTTACTATCCGTATTCGCATAATTACGAATACGAATAATTTACTATTCGCTTCGCATTCGTTTCCGAATAAACGGCCTCCTATTCCATCGTAGCCGATGATGATGACGATGGAAAAAAAAAGGTTATCAGACAAATATTAATCTCCCCTCCACCTCCCCATACCAAATCTCCAAATTTTAATCTAATTATCAAAAAGATGAATTTTATTTGTTAAAATATCTTCATAATCAGACATTTATATAACTTCAAATATTATAATCAGTAGAAAAAAACGAATTATAATTTGTTCGTTTATAAAATAAAAATATGGTTTGAATCGAAGCGTGAACAAAATTTTTTTAAAAAAAATCTTTTATAAAATTTTTATTTTTTTAAACTTCAAAAAAAAAATACGGGAACTTATTTTTTAAAAATTTATCAAAAATTATTTTTTTGCTTATCAAAATTCATTTATTTTGCTATCAAAATTAATATGAATTTCCCATTTCCTCATGATATTTCACAAATGGAAAAGTAAGGGGGGGGGGAGAAGTTGTCGTTCTCTACTTTTCTTATCTTACCAAAAGCTAGACTTTTCGCGATTATGCTA